ACTTTAATATTATCCATTGATTTGTTGATTTTTTTTGAAGTAGTATTAATGCCATTTTTATTACAATCACACCATGGACAGAAATACTGTGCATTAGCAGCATTCATTCCTAAACAAATTGCTAAAAATTTCCAATCGGAACTGAAATATAGTTCTACGGGCCATTGGTTGCCACCTATTTGATTAAAACCTTTCTCTTTTAATATACATAAATCAGAAATTAAAGGAGTTAATACATTCTTAAGAGACTCATATGTTTCAGCTCCTGGATATAAAACCAAAGTATAGTGGTTATCTGGTTTTTGTAATCCATTTAAATCATTCAATAATGTCATTGTGACCATTACATGTTTCACTTTGCGTCCAACATTATGCCCATCTCCTGAAATTCGAATATGTAATGTTGATTGTCTAGGAATTAAAATTCCTTTTTCAATATATAATGGTATTATATAGTTTAAAATATCTGTTATACGACGTTGACCTCCTTTTCCAATTAATTCTAACATATTTGTAATAATTTCACTATCAGTAATATTTGGTTCTTCTCTAATTGGTTCAAATTTAGTCGGTTGCAATAAATCAACAAGAGTTAGTGGGACCTGTTTCTTCATTTCTGCATTAATTTTTTGCCGTATATCACATACTGCCTTTTCACGTGGAAGATCTTCAATTCGTGCTAGAGATCGATAAGCTTCTCTTGATATATGACCTTTATCCAAAGATTTAACTACTGCTTCAATTTTTTTTATTTCCTCTATTTTATTCACCTTTCCAAAATTAATATCATATACATCATCATCTATCTCAAATTTTATTTGTTTAAGTTTTATTTGATCATCTGGATGAAATGTATTGTCTCTTTCTCTTTCAACAATATCTAAAATACTCTGTGATAATCCAAGTATTCTGCGACGTTTTTGAGAATTACCAAGATCAATAAATGGCCGAATTTTAAGATCTAGAGACATTGTTCTACGCACTCGTTCAACACTAAGTAACTTGAGACCAAAAAGTAAAGGACCAGATATTTTTCCTTTATTTTCTTTGTTTGACTGGTCCCTATTTCGATTTTTCTCCATTTCTTTCATTCCATTAAACTCCTAATAGAATAATTAGTTAATATTTATTTCAACAATAAAAAATATTTTTAAAAAATAAATGTACCTGATAATACTTGCAGGCAGCATCTGTAGATGTCTCCCAGGAATGTACTTCTCTTGAAAAGTTAACTCCAAAGCAAATTTTGTATAAGGGTTTTTTTTCCACATATTCAATTGAACATTCAACTGTATACATTGCTTTTCCATATTGGGTCTTGACAACATAATTATGAGGAATTGGATGTTTCGGATTCCTGGTATAATGAAGTTGTTCTGTAAGAGGATATGTTCCCTCTTTTATTATCTCGTAAAAATAGGTTCTTTTATTATCAAAAAGTTTTATAAATGAACTTTTAGGATAAGTGCCTTCTTCTTTCATAATTTATGTTTTACGTAATTATACTAGATTTATAAAAATAAAAAACGAATATATTAAAAATGTGATAAGTAATAAAAAAAATTATTTGAAAAAATTTAATATCATAATAATGAAAAAAAAAAAAATATTTAAAAAAAAAGATGCGTCAAAAAATGTCTATCAGATCAAAATTTGTTATGCTTTTAAATCAAGATTAAAACCTGTATTCAATCCAAATTTAGTTATAAGCCTGATGATCATTTCCCAAATTGAAAACTTGACCTTACTTATTTAATCTATTTATATACCTGACAATTGTAATCTGACAGACAAGAATCGATCTGAGGCACAACATGTACTGTACATGAATTTTTTTTGCGTGATTTTTTTTAAAACTATTTTTTTAGAACAGATAACCTGAAAAGTGTATATTATATATATGCCTCAGTAAGTTTTTAGGGAAAGGTTTAATATTAATGTATTTTTATTAATAGTATTTCTTTTTCTTTATAGGAAATAGACTTGGAGACCTTGTATTTGGCATCTCTTTAATAAATTACACGTCAGAGTTTGCCGAAGCAGTTCAAGAAAAGTTTAGCAAATTTAAAAATATTGAAATTCCAAAAGCTATTAATTATGAGCTCCTAGTGTATTATTTATACGGTGATGTGCTCACCATATTGGGTTTTCTAGCATTTCGATTGTATATTTTTTTAGGTGGTTCTTCCAGTTTCCTTAGACGCAAAATTTTGGTAAGTTTTTTTTATTTTTATTTTTTTCTTAATTGTTTTTATTTTAACAAACAATTTCTAACAGTTTGTTCTTTCCTTTATCTAGGCAGTTCTCTTTGGATATTGGATTCTAGTAAGGTTAATTTCTATTTTTTTTGTATTTTATTTTAGTGAACTTTACTAATAGTTCATTTTTTCCAATTTTTTCATTTCTTTTAGATTTTGCCAATTCTCTCTGAAAATAGAGGTGGTGTCCTTCTTTTTTGTTTTCTTCTGTCTTGTTTTCTTTTGCCTTTTTATTAACTTTTATTTTTCTTTTTTGTAGATTTTGTCTTTTTTTTCTTTTAGATTTTTGCGGCTTCTTTTTTTCAGATTTCTCTAGGTTTGCTTGTTCTCTTCAGGTTATTTTTTTTTCTTTTCATTTCATTACTAATTTTCACCTTTCTTTTTCATTTTTTTAGGTTCTAATACTTTTTCTTAGGTTTCTGCAGCTTTCTTTACGGAATAGAGATTGGTATTCTTTTACTTTAATTTTATTTTTCCGTCATTTTCTTTACTAATTTATTCTTTCTTTGGCTGGCTCTTTTTTTTTTTAGGTGCCAGCGATTTTTCTTTTTTAGGCTTGACGGTTCTCTTTGGAAATAAAGGTTAATGCCCAAATTTTTTCATTATTTTTTCTTTGTTTCGTTTTCTTTTACTAATGTTCATTTTGTTCATTTATTTCTTTTCTATAGGTTTCAGACAGCTTGTTCTTAGAATCTGTAAGTTCCAGTACTTTTTTCTTTATAATTTAACAAAACTTTAACTAACGATTTCTTTTTTTTTTCCTTTTTTAGGCGGATTTCTTAGACGTGCGTAATGGTGTGTGGTATTTTTCTTTAACTTGTTTATTTATGAACTATTAACTAACAGTTTTTTCCTTTTTTAGGTAATTTTTCAGGCTCTTGGACACACAGGAAATTTGGTGAGAGGAACAAATGATTACTACATTTCGCTTTTTTGGACTATTTAAAAATGATTTTTTTAACTTTTTTTATATTTGTAGGAATGGTATCACATCGGAACCCTAGGTAAGTTTTTCGAGAAGCTTTTGAAAGCATCTTCAAAGAAAATAATATATTAAAGTATTTTTTTTATTTGTAGACTCCGCACTTCTTTTCTTTGAATGACTTTTTTTTAATGAAACTCTCACTAACGTTTCATTCATTCTTTTTTTTTAGATGGTTCTTAAGTGTGGAATTTCAGTTGAAATTTGTCAATTACGAATTTAGAGATCTTGGGATGTTTTAATGGGTCATCATAAAGATGTGATCCAAATCATCAAGATTAACTGGATTATCTGTCAGAACCTCCCTTGAAAGGTATTTTAAAGATAAAGATGGCAGATTTTTTTTTTAATTAGGGATTTTAGTAAAAGTTACTAACACCTCTTTATTTATTTATTTTTTTATAGAAAGGAACCACTTCAGTATTAATGGAACAGCTTTTGAAGGCATTTAAAGGAGAAGGGAATTTTTTAGTCTGGGATTATCTAGCTAATGGATTGATCAGATTCATCCAGATCGTACCTCAGGGTGAAGGATATATTTCACTGCTTTCTTATTGTAGCAAGTTTACTATTAGCGTGAAAACATTTTGAGTAAAAAAATTTAGTTTAACAAAGTACCTCATAATTAGCCACATGTCAACACTTTTAATTATTATCTTTTATCTAATAATAATTTACGTCATGAATGCATTATTTATTAAAAGCGTATGTAAAGTTAAACTAGTCATATATATGGTTAAAGTAGCTATTACATTACAACGATTCTAGTAAAGTAGCTGCTAGAAATTTGTTTTTTATTTAGAATCTTCGTATTTTAATATAATGTTAATTTTAGCCAAAATTACGCTAATTCTGGCCAAATTTTAAATCGCACTAAACTGTATTTTTTAAAAGTCGAATATACTTATCGGATTATTGTATTACATATTCTATTTTTGCTGCATCTTTGTTGCTATAAAATTCAACGTATTTGGATGATGAATCAAATTCGCCGATATGATCTATATACTGAACTTTTAATCCTGAATCATAAATTCGGTATATCAAGATTTAACTGTAAAGTAAAAAACTATATAACTATTCTATTATTATTAACTTAAATTATTTATTATTCCACTATGAAACTTCACATGTATACTGTTAACTAATCAGATAAGTAACATTTGAAATGCATCATTTTAGCAAATTGCCCTGATATCTATATCTGGTAAATTATAAGATTCACATTAAGACAGTTTGAATAGTAATAAAATTGCATTTTTTTATTAGTACTTAATTTGTGATCTGTATAAAAAGTAAAGAATCTAATTATTAAAACCTAGAGTTAAGTTATGTATAGTAATATATAATAGCATGAAATCTGAAAATATGGTAAATTAAAGTACAAATTTTTTAAATATAATGTAAAACTAAAACTATTAACATAAAATTATACTATTTAGCTAACTTTTTACTAGAAGTTCAGTAAAATTTTCAATAATTAGAAATAACTTTCCTATAAATTTAAAAGTAAAAATCCATTATTCATAATATTAAAAATAAGGTATTTTTTATCTTTAAGCCTATAAGTAAGTCATTTATAATACTCAAAAAATTTACTGGATTTTTAACAAAAAGTAAGCCAAATAATATCAGATTCTACACTATTATATAATTACATTAATTTTTGATATAAGACTTTTTACTTTATTTGCAGATTACAAATTAATAATGAGAAATTATATTTTTACAAAATGTGATATTTTTTTATAATATCAACTTATTATTTACTGATGGGAAAAATATAATTTTATTACCATTTAAACTGTCCTAATAAAATAAATCTAATACGATTTAATAAGCTATATATATATATTTTTTTCATTAAATCATAAGAAATTAAATATGTTTTATTTATATAATACTAACTAGATATTTATTAATACCAAAAATGTGATTTTATTACCATTAAATTTGTCTTAATAAGGCAATTTTAATAAGTTATTATTTATTCTTTTTTAATTAGTAAATAGCAAGTAATTGCAATTTTAAAAATGTATTTCATATATTTATTAATTAAAATAAATAATACTATTTACTATCTTATTATTATATATATTTTTTGATATAAGGATTTAATTTAAGTAATTAGTTAATTTTAAATTGTAGTATTTTTATAATTTATTATTAAAATAATTTATATATTGCATATGCAATATTATCTAGGGGTGGAGGGGGGGACAACTTTATTGTTACATAATATTATATCTAATCAATAAAACTGTCCTACATATAAATTTTATATATGTTACTAATAAAATATTATGATCAATGTAAAAAATACCCTTGCAATTAAAAAAATCTACTTATCAAATTATGTAATCGTTGAAATATGATTCACGATAGATCTTTTTTATCACGTCTAGGTTTTTTTATTTGCAATTAAACGTTTCTAGAAAAAAAAATTCTCCATCGGCGATTTATTTTCAGTAACTATGGTAAGAAAAATAATTTTTAAGCTATTTTACTGAAAAGTTTATTTTAAAACGTATTTTCATTTTTTAGAAACGTGTTTTAAATGATTATACCAATATTCAAATATCAAAAAAAACCAAATTTCCTGAAGCTCTTCAAGAATTATACCGTCTTCGACCAGAGTTTAATGGCAAATTAGTTTATTTTTTTTATAAGAAAACACAATATGTAGAGGGACTCTTGGTTTACGATAAAAAAGACAAAACTTTTTACGTTTTTGATAAAAAAACTAATGAAAAATTTAGTACTTTTGCTTCTTGGATCAAGTTTCTCAAAAATAAAAGAGTATTTAGTGGGGAACGGTCAGCACTTGTCACAATTTTTTTTGAACCAAATTCTTCTAGTTTTAATTTAGCTTCATTATTAAGAACAGAGCAAATTCCATATTGGAAAAATTATAATCCAACAAGTATTGCTGAAGTTACATCATTGATAAAAATGCTTACAAATTCAAATCATAAGTTTTTTGGTGTAGGAATAAGAGAAATTATTGATGGAATTGGTGTTACATTTTTCGAAAATGAACAAAAATTAGAAAAGGATCTAATTATTAAATGGCAAAAAAATTTAATTTCTTACGAACTGTATATTTTGGGAAAAAGTGTTAAAGAAATAAATGGAATAGTGACAGGAATTGCAACTGAAAGAACTCTTTCAGAAATAGATAAAACAATTCATTATGTATCTATGACAAGAATTTGCATTGGGCAAAAAACTAAAGGTAAAAAATCTTTAGTTATTCTTATTATTAATTTATATATATAAGTTAAAAAAAGTTTATATTTTAGGTTTTAAACAAATAGTTAAGCTCTGTGATATTCATCTTGTGAGAAATAAAAAAAATTCTTATAATATTCACGAACCTTTTGCAATTCTAGAGAATCAAAGTCAACATAATGAAACTTATAGAAGAATAGACTGTTATTTGTTAGTAACTGAAACAAATATATATGAAAATTGTCAAAAATTAAAGAATACACTTATTAAAATTAAAAACCGAAATCAAACAAATACTTTACCTGTTAAAGTTATCTATACTTCTCAAGAAGTTTTAGCAAAAAAAATTCAGCTTCAAAGAAAGGTAATTATTTATGAATAATGATATTGATTTAAAGTTATGAGAAGTTAATTTAGCATAATATTTTTTTTTTTTTCTTAAGAAAATTGTAAATAAGGACCAAATCATATATAACTTGCAAGCTCAGCTTCAACGAAAAGTGGAAGATGAAGAAGAAAGGGTATCGGAAGAGCTGAGCCAGATTGCTAAAAAAGTATTTAACAAGATTATGGAAAATAAAATTGATATTTCTTCCTTTAATCCGATTTTTCAAGAATTAATTAGAATTCAAAGTGAAAAAGCTAATGGAGTGAGATATCATCCGATGTAAGTGTATAGTCACTATAGTGCAATTAAAAGAAAATAATTAAATAAAATATATTTAACAATTTAATTTAATTCATTAGGTTTATACGATGGACTATTTCTGTATATAGCCGAGCAGGCCATGCTACTTACGAAGCAATGAAAGGCATTATGCGATTACCTTCAATATCTACAATAAAAAACTATATAAACGAAAATCAGCAATATTCAGGATGGCAAAATAAAACTGCTCGTCATATTCTGGAAAAAATGGCAATAGAAAACATTGGCAATTGTGGTCGAATTGGATTTTTTTCCCATGATTCTTTTAAAATACAAAAAGGTATATTTTTTTAATAAAATATTTTAAAAATAACTTTCTAAAAACTTATTTGAATTTAACATTTAATAGGTTTACTTTGGAGTCAACGAGATAATTGCTATGTTGGATATTTGGATTTTGAAAATGAAAAAGAAGAACTGCAATCATTTATGATGCAATGTGAAAAGGAGTTGCAAACAGATAATAGCAGTAACTTATCTGTTTTAGAAGATCACGATCAAAACTTGGCAACCCAGGTGCATCAAATCGTTTGGCACTCTGCTACTTGTAATTTTGCATATCCTATAGCATATTATGGAATTAATACTTTTACCGCTCATGAAATTAATAATATACTTTTCCAACTTGCGGCTAATCTTGAATGTATTGGTATCCATACTTGTGGATCTATTTGTGATGATGCTGGAGAAAACAGAAATCATATCAAAAGTTTTGATTGGTGGGCTTCATTCTGGTCTTTAGGAGATATTGTTGAAGTCAATATAGGAAAAAATAATTATGAACGAGCAAAAATTGTAAAAACTAACCTTGATCGTAGCAAATTTACAGTATGTTTACTGGATCTATCCTCTTCTAGTGAATTTGAAATAGATCGCAACTTATTAAGGCCACCAATGCCTATCAAACTGAATTGGGAGATTAACGATTTCTGTGAATTCAAAAGTCCAAAAGACAATAAATGGCATAAGGCTGTCATTACAAATCTTGATTCTGCAACACAAACTTATATTATTAAAATTTTATCTACTAATGAAGAATGGAAAATGGCAGTTGAATCACAGAATATATACATTAAACCTCTTTATGATGCTCAGGTATATTGGATGAATTATAAAACCATTAATCCAATTACTGGTACGTCATGGTTTTTCATTAGTGATCCTACACATGTTTTCAAAAAACTCTGAAATAATCTTTCAAAAAGTCATATTGGAAAAGGCCGAAATATTAGAGAAATAATGATAGATGGAAAAGAAGTTAGCTAGCGTCATATTCAAGGTGTTTATGATTATACTATTCAAAATTCAACGGCAAAAATTACAAGACTTACAAAACGTCACGTTTGGCTCACTTCTTGGAGTAAGATGAGAGTTGATCTTGCTGAACAAACTTTATCAAAGGATGTTGAAAATGCAATGAAAGCAATTGATGGATTAAAGGAAATATCTGCAGGAACAAGGGTAAATAGAATAAAAATTTATTAAAATTTAAAAACAAAATAATAATTAATTTTTATTTAGGAATTTATACATTACTCATACCTTTACCGGCAAATTTTTCATAGCAAGAAACCTTTGGAAGGTCTTGCTGATTTTCGGTTTCAAACTTTAAAAAATATTCTTGATTGGTTTGTATTTAGAGATAAGCAAAAGGCCAACAACATAAACTGGATCTCACCACAGTGTCAGTTCGATCTGCTCTTATCCATTCAAGGTTTTTTGGGAATGGCAGAAGAAATTTTTAAATTATATCCAAATTCAATTATTGAACCACGTAGGGTATCACAGAATATGTTGGAAGGATTATTTGGTACAATTTGACAGCTTAGAGGTGACTCTTCCATGCAAACATTGAAAGGATATGGTCATGCATTAAATAAATTTCAGGTTACTGCAAAGATGACTTCTGAAATCAAAAGCTTTAATTATGGAAAATCGAATCACGGTGGAATGGAAATTGATTGTCTTACTCATTAGTGAGTATTTTTTATAAACTAAATTTTATATTTAAATAGATGATTAGTAACTTTTTTTTTATAGTGATTATAGAACAAAAAAATCTAAAGATAACAATATACATCCCATCTTGACAAATCATATTATACGATTGTCCAATATGTCTCCCTTTACGTGACGAATTTTTGAAAGCCTTCTTCTAGATGATTTGTTTATGGGTAAAATTGAAATTCCAATTTCATCTGTCAATAATGAAATTAATCAACAAAATCAAAAAATCTCATTTCTTCAAGAAGAACATCAATGGCTTTTCAATTTGTGTCTCTATAATGATGAAATTATTTCTATGTTAGAAAAATGGAAAAGCGATATCAAAAATATTGCTTTAAAATTAATTCCAAAAAGAAAAGGAAGCCTTTGGATGGCTGCATGGGTTTCTCATTTGGAAAGTAGCCTGAATAACTATTTATGTTCTGGCGTTTGGTATTTAGAATTTCAAAAGATTATTTCGCAAAATCATTCTGACACACAAAGATTGGTTGCATACTTCCTTGTTCGTAAAGTGATAGAGGAAATATTTAAAGGTGATTTTCATGAAAACAGAAACGTGCAGGACTGTGCAGATTCTACCATGACTCCTAGGAAAATTATTACTTTAAACCAAGCAGAATCACAAAAATTTTCTTATATTATTGGTTGGGTACTCTTCAAATTACTTAAAAGAGATTATATAATGAATTCCCATCCAAAATTTTGGGCAATGCATACTTTACTTGGAGCTCTCTGTGAAGAAAAGGTCGAATATGTGATAAAAATAAAATCACAGACCACTAATATTATACCTGGATCTGAATTCACTCAGTTCATGTATTATTTAGAATCCCTAGTAATTGACCTATTTAAGAAACATAATGAGTTGGGACCAAATATCCTTCATTATGTAAAAAATAGTCTTCTTTCTAACTTACGTTTGAATCAAATGTTTATCACAATTTTGAAATCTTCAGGTGATGTTGGATTGGAAAATGAGGAAATTGGGTTTATTTATGAAAGATGCATCACGATCTATATGAGGAGTCATCAAAAAACTTGGAGAGATGTTAATCATTACATTCCAGAAAAAGGTACTGCGAGCTTAAGAGAAAGTTTAAAGACAATGCGTTCAAGCCATTCTACAATAGAAAATAAAAAATCCTCTCTTATGAAAAAGGCAAATCTACCTACTAATCCTGTTCATGCTTTAGAACAGCTTCGGGTATGGGCGCAACTTGAAAAAGCTGAAGATTCGTTTGCCAAAATGTTTTCAGTATCAGAATTATTGTGGATAATCTGGGCTTTTGGGCATTCCACACCATATAAAAGAAAACAAAAATTAGTACCCATAATTATTTCTAAATTGAAAAATTCAACACCGTTTATCGAAGAAGCTCTTAAAAAAAGGAATATTTTTATGGAATAAACAGAATAATGAAAAATGTAAATGTTTGTTCAATTATAATAAAGAAATTTTATTGTAAAATTTAAAAAACAGTATATTAAAACTTTGAATAAACTTATTTGAGCTAACTAGAATGTCAATAATGCACTTATGATTATGAAACTTCAATAGTAAACGGCTTTTAACTACACTAATCTAATTTCGAACATCGGCTTTTAAAAATGTTATGTATCAAAAATTGTAGACTCGGTATATTTTGTAGATATAACAATGAATAAGGTGATCAATAAATTCAGGGGAGGACAGTTCGTAATGGTAATATAAGGTAACACAACAAACAAGTTGTCCCCCCCTCCACCCCTTGATATTATTGCATTTTAATTATCATGTGATTTTTATTTCTTTAAATAATGTAATTAATGTAAATTTATGATTTAAAAATAATATAACATTATATGATTAATAAGTCTATTTTTTTGGTAATAATTGTTTGTCCTTTTTTTTCATATAAAGTCATAAAAATAAAATGGATAGCTTTTATTACTATAAATATTATAATTTTTTACTTTTTATTATACAGATGATATACAAATAGGATTTTTCATACTAAAAAAATTCTAAATCTCTAAAATACATAGTAAAAATAGAATTAAAGAGGGTATGATGTAGGATAACAAATTATATATTATAAAAAATTATATGATACTGGTAATGATTGCTTAGCAATTTTAATTTACTAATTATAATATTGTGCATTTGTGCTATTTACATTTTGTCAAATATCTTAATTTTTAGCTAAGTATATAATGGTTCATTAGAATTATTGTTTTGATAAAATAATTCTAATGAACTATTGTGCAATTCCATATAATTACTGCATTACCATATATCAAAAATTTTGAAATTAATTTAGATTATTAAATTTAATTTATGATCATCTAGTTGATTCAGATAGATTACAAATTGTAAAATCTTATTCAAATTACATTTTTATAATTACTATAGCAAAGTAAAGATATTAGAGATTAATATAACTTTCATAACATATGGGCTGATTTGTCTTTGTATTTGACTTAAGATAAAGATTCACATTTAAGAACCTATTTATAGCTTGGTAGTCCATAAGTACAATTAGTTGACTAACGTATACCAACCAACTTGTATGTGCAACCTGACCAAATATCACTACAACTGCCATTTTAGTTTGATCTCAGAATAGTCCCTATCCATCAACAGAATACTAACTGGCTAGCTATAATCCCCTACTTATCTTTTATCCATTCTAGAGGTAAGACAAGCTTGAATTTATATGCCACCCTGCCATGTCTTAGTAATAGAGGACTTTTGGTGTCAGATGTAATGGCAATCATCTAGAAACCCTTCTGTACCAACATTCACACTTCAGAACTGAATTAAGACTTACTTAAGGTCACTACAGCTCCACAATTCCTTAGCCCAAAGTACAGTTATGAATTCCCCAATGGTATAGCAGTGACCATTGAGACAGAGAGAACATGAAATAGTACAGACTCGCTTGTTTGGAATTATTCCCAGTGGTGTCCTACCATTCAAGCTGCCACCTGGTACCCGTCTAGTGGGAATTGAACCTCATACCTCACTTAGTACATCTGTATATCCTAGTTGGCCTAAACCTATTAGAAGGTAAACTACCACAAAGTCATTGCACCCAGGATTTTACCATCTATAATAACCATCTAGCCACATTGAACCCCAAGCAGTATCATTTGAGTAACCACCTGAACAGGAAATTACCTTCAAGGTATGCAAGCAGTGACTTCACAGACAGGACTTCAAACATTCCAATAATCTCATAGGGAACGTTAGAAGGATACCATAACCCTTTGTTGAAATGTGCGGCCTAATTGTACACACTAATTCACCATGGTACGTGCAGTCCAACCACCTAATTCCTGTATCTTCACGCCATTGGTGGTAGTGTCTGCAGTAAAATTCTTTTTATTTCCGTGATCATGGGAATCGAACCTGCAACTTCACCATACTCAGGCTTAATGAGGATCTCAGTAACCAACTACTGAAATAGGGTGATCAACCCTATATATGGGCTGATTTGTCTACTTTGCATTAAAAAGAGTTATTGATTGATTTTCACAATTTTTGTTACTCAAAATTGTTTAGTAATACCAAAAAATCATCTGATTGATGATCACTTGACTAAATAATAAGTTGAACAAAAATTTACATTTGCGAAACTTAAATTATTAAATGTAAAAGAGCTGTGAAAAAACCCATTTCTCATACACTGGTCAGAATAGTCAAAATTTTAAATTGCCGAATGTTGGACAAAATTCAGTCTGACCTTAGCCGATCAGTACCAAAAAAATCGGCAACTAATTATATAGACGATTTGCACCGTAACGCCTGCCATTTGTCAACAAATCGATCAGTAAAAATTGGCAACAAATCGGTAAAATCAAATTGACGATTGTTAATAAACCTAATAATTTATTACCGATTTTTGTACATTTAACTGATTACTGATTTTAATTTTATAATAATTTATTAATTAAATTTTATTAATTCATTTTATTAAAAATTACATATTAAATTAATATATAGCTATCTATCATCTATATACACCATTCACCATCCATCATCCACCCATCATCCTCACCTAACCTGATAAAAATCCGTAGAAAACCTACAAAAAAAAGGAGGAAATGGTTAGTAACCTATTTTTTAAATAAAAAAAGTTAAAGTTTCAAAAGAAACTTACCTGATCTAATAAAATCCGAAGGGGAAATCTACAAAAAAAAAGTAAAGAAACGGTTAGTTCATTTCTTTAATAATAATTAAAAATAAAGTTTCGAAAAATTCGAAACTTACCCGCCCATCCAATAAAGTCCGAAGAAGAAAATCTACAAAAAAAAAGAAGAAACAATTAGTTTAACGTTTTTTCAATAAAAAAAATAAAGTTTTGAAAAAATTTAAAACTTACCCGCCCATCCAATAAAGTCCGAAGGGTGGGAAACCTACAAAAAAAAAAAGAAGAAACAATTAGTTTAATGTTTCTTCGATAAAAAAAGTTAAAGTTTTTATACTTGAAACTTATCCCAATTCGTTAATGGAAACCTACAAAAAAAAAGAAACGGTTAGTTTGTTTCTTTAATAATAATAAAAAATGAAGTTTCGAAAAACTTACCCATCCAATAAAAAGTCGAAGGGAGAAATCTACAAAAAAAAAGAAGAAACGGTTAGCAAACCGATTCTTTTATAAAAAAAAAAATTTTGAAAAGTTTCAAAATAGTTCGAAACTTACCCGATCCATCAGCCCGAAGTGAAAGCCTATAAAAAGAAGAAAGAAACGATTAGTAAATCGTTTTTTTTAAAGTTTCGAAATTAAACCAACTTCAAAACTTACCATCAACCATTCCATGCCCTAAACCCCTATTATACTTTGAGGACGTCTTAAATCTACAAAAAAAAAGAATGAAAATGTTAGCAAACGTTTCGTTCAAATAAAAAAAGAAAAAAAAATTTTCTAAATACAAACGAACGTTAGTAACGTTTGTTAGATAAATTAATGAAATATTTTGAAGTTCTACCTTCGAAATGCCATGTTGAACTCATCCCGAAACCTGACTGAGGAGATTTTGGCGTCCATGTCGGAGCTGATTTCCTACAAAAAAAAATAAAAAAACATAATAAAAAAAACGTTACTTTAAACGTTTTTTTATTAAGTTTCGTAAAGTTTTGAAAATTTGAAACTTTACCTGCGGGATTCTGGTATCTAAATTGGAGCCGATTTCCCTGCAAAAAAATTAATAAAAATAATAAAAAAATGTTAAATTAAACGTTTTTTATTAATTTTTGTCAAAAAGTTTCAAAAATTCAAAACTTTACAGTATCCCTACAATAATATTAAAAAAAACGTTAAAAAACGTTTTTTTCAAAGAAGTTTCGAAAATGAAACTTAACTGGAATATCGGCATCTACGATGGAGCCAAATTCCTATACAAAAGTAAAAAAAAATGTTTTTAATATTAAAAAACGTTTTAAAGTTTCAAAACTTTGTTTCGAAACTTACCTTTGGAATTCGGTATCCAAATAGGAGCCAATTTTCCATACAAACATAAAAAAAATGTTTTATTAAAGGATAAATGTATATCTAGCGGGAGGCGATCCAATTAAATCTAGCATGATATAAAGTGTAATTTGATTGGTTGACAATATATGATTACATATGACACAAATTTTTATGCAAAGTGAGATTTAAGATGCATCGCATTTCCAAAAAAAATTTTAAATAAACTTTTTGAAGTGTTCTAATAAAACCCTTTATACTTTTATGAAAATTTTTATGCAATGCGAAATCTAAGATATATCGCATTTCCTAATGTAAACCAAAACATTAAACCCCTTATACATTTATGAAAAATTTTTATGCAAAGCAAAACTTAAGATATATCGCATTTCCTAATGTAAATCAAAAAAATATGGCATAAACAAACCCGTATCTCTAGCAAAGTCATCGTTTAATAAAAATAAACAAACAACTATTTTTCATTTCTCTCTCTCATTTTAATACCAACTAAAAAAAACTCAAACCAAAACTATTATTCAGAAAGAATTTTTTGTATCTTCCTTTATAATAGATATTCTAAGTCTAATGGATATGTATCCAGTTGCCATTAATATTGATAATATTGTACAAGAAATGGAAGGTGTTGAATATATTAATGTAAATGAATATATTAACATAGATAAGGAAAATAATGACAATTTAACAAGTATTATCTACATCTTAAAATACGTATGTATCATTACTATCTTTATACATATTAACTAATAGTAAATATCTGATACTTACAGTTGAGGCTGAAGATATTCCTAAAGATATCAAATTTGATACATGGGATGAAGTTGATAGCTACTTTGATGATTATGGTGCTAGAAATGGATTTGCAATTGTTAAATATAGAATGGAATAAAATAGTAAAGGATAAGTTCACAAAAGAACTTTAGTTTGTGAATTCAGTGGAAAATACAAGTCCAAAAAATCAGTAAAAGCAGCATCAAAAGGAATACAACGGAATACTAAAACAAAAAAATCAAATTGTCTGTGGCATATAAATCTCACCTTTCCTGAACAAGCAACGCAAATAGGAGTTACAACATTTGTTAATCAGCATAATCATGAACTTGTACCTAAAACTCAAGAATTTTCACCAAAATATCGAGCATTTACTAATGAAGCACTTAACGAAATATTGTTGATGACAAAATATGGAAGTTTAACACTTACAGCACAAAGGAATCTCTTAAAAGCCCGGTTTCCAGATCTGCATTTTCAAGATCAAGATCTGGCTAACGTAATTCATAAATACAAAATTGCTGATAAAATTAATAATGATGCATCTGCATTACTTACAACATTAATGCAAAAGAAGGCTGAAGACTTACGCTGGGTTGTTGATTTTGAATTAGATAAAGATAATAGATTAACGTGTCTTCTTTAGATGTCTCCAGATCAGGTGGATCTATGGCTTAGATATCACGATGTAGTTATCAACGATAATACAGCACGAACAAATCAGTATCAAATGCCGTTGGGAGTTTTCATAATAATTGATAATAAATGTAAATCTCGTCTAGTTTGTCAAGTATTAGTAAGTGATGAAACTCTTAATACACACGTGTGGATACTTGAATGCATCAAAAAAGCAACTGAAACAGCTCCAATTGTGATGTTTACTGATGCTGATCCAGCCCTTGATGCAGCAATTCCAATCGTTTTTCCTGAAACATATCTGGCTCACTGTATTTTTCATATTGCACAAAATTTACCTAAAAATTTGAAAGCAAAATTAGGTGAGAAATGGGACGATTTCATCAAACAGTTCTATCAATGCCGCAATAGTTTATGTGAACCACTATTTAAGCAAAGATGGAACCAATTACTTATTGATTATCCAATGGCAAAAGACCATCTTTTACGTACATTAGATCAAAATTCTAGATCCTGGGCTCGAGCATACCTTCATAAAATTTTCACGGCTGGTATTGAAAGTACTGCAAGAGTTGAAGGTTATAATTGGATTATAAAGCAACAATTAAAAGCTAACAGTAACTTATGTGAGATTGCTGATCGACTTGATTCAAGGCTAAAAGATGAAGAGCGATGGAATCAGTTTTACAAATACAAGCAAGCCACTACAACAAATACTTCTTCTGTAGCTGGACAAGATTTGTTTCCTATAGTAACAAAAATTCTTGATAAATAAGTTACTGAACCTATTAATAATACGATTAAGACAGAAATATCTCAATGTTTATTTGTTACTGCAAATATGATTGAGCTCAATAACGAAGAATTAAATTGTGAGCAGGTATGTTATTACTAAATAACTGAGTTGCAATATACTTTAGTATTAAATAATACCTTGCTATTATTAAAGGAAAATCCCCATAGATTGTCAGATGGTTTTATTGAAGATCAACATGACGCACGTTTTATTACACTTCAAGCTATGATCGAAGAAATAGGATAAGAAGAAGTGTTAGAAATATGGAAAGTTGTAGATATACGAAGTGAAAGAAAAAGTCATGTACATTTCGTTATTATTGTCAATGCAATATCCTACCTGTGTTCTTGTCTCAAGTCTATCTCAAAGGGAATAATATGTCATCACTATTTTCGTGTTATAATGAATTCCAAAACTGCAGCATTTCACATCAGCATGATACCTCAGAGATAGTATAGGGATATTTACCAAGATGAGACAAACCTGCAAGAAAAAGTAATATTTAACAATAAAGAAGGTATTCATGATGATGAAACTATGAACAATAATACATTACCTGTACGAAAGCCTGTCACGATCCCAATAACTGTTCCTGTTCTTAAAAAGGCCGCTCATAAAAGAAATTTATATGGTCGTGTATAGGGATTAGCACGAACAGCCACTTTATTTGCAGTTGAGCAAGAAGATGATGAAATAACTCTTATTCTTCAAGATTATATTAGAAGAAAATCCAATCGAAATACGCCTGAAAGACTTCCAATAATAATTGATGAAAGATCCACTATTGATGAAGTATCTGATAATCTCCAATAAATTCAAAGAAACTATACTGATACTAATTCTAGAATAGAGAGTAGTGGTCAGATAGAGTTAGATGAAACTGAAAAAGATGGAGAAATTATGATAGATACAAACCTCCAAAATGTGAAAAATCTGAACAGGGTTATTACCAAAGGTCAGCCGCCCAATCAAAGGTATTTGAGTAGTGTGGAAAAGGAACAGAATGCTCGAGGAAAGCCCAAAACTAGAGGCTCTTATAAATGTCGTGTTTGCAATGGAATAGGACATAATGCCGCTTTTCATAAAAATGTGAGTAATAAATAACAAGCCTAGGGGGCAAGGGGAACGATTTTACGTTATGTGATATATTTGGCATTTTTTTTTCAAATTAGAATAGTGCAGCCGTACGTGTAGGCACATTTTTTTACAAATGTAACGTGGTTATTACTTATAAACCAATAAAAATCGTTAAATTTTCATAAAATATGAACTGTCTTAAAAGAATAAATTTATTTTTTTAAAAAAAAATAGCCTACTCCAGAGTTCGAGAGTGTTCAGCAATTTTTTTACTTCACGTGAGAATTATGTAAATCGCATCCTGGGGGTTAGATTTAAGCATTATACAGGGGTGCTAGATATAAATTTACCCTTTATTAAAAACGTTTTATTAAAAAAAGTTTCGAAATTTTTTTTTGAAACTTACCTTTGGGATTTCGGTATCTACAAAAAAATAAAAAAAAACATTAATTTTTAACGTTTTTTATTATAGTTTCGAAATTTTTCGAAACTTATCTTTGGGGTTCAGTATTCACACTGGAACCGATAGCCCTACAATTAAGTATAAAAAAAAACGTTAAAAACATTTTTTTTTTAAAGAAGTTTCGAAAATGGTTCGAAACTTATCTGTAATATTGGTATCCACGCTGGAACTGATTTTCTTCACTAAAAGTATAAAAAAGAAACGTTTTTTAATGTAAAAAACATTTTTTTAAAGAAAGTTTCGAAACTTTTTTGATTTAATAAAAAGTTACTGAATTCAATGTATACATTTACGGATGAAAGAGAGAGGCGAAAAGTTTAAAAAGTTTAAAAAAGTTTATTTTAAAAAGACCCGTAAAATGTCGATCTGGATCATCTGATTTTTTTAGTCATTTACCAACTGATTTGCCGAATTATTGCCAATTAGTTATTGATTTTTACCGTTTGGCAAATTTGGCAAAATTGTGTTGATTTATGTGACCAATCAGTATAATTTTACTGAATGATCTTAAAAGAGCAATTTTTCGTATAACAATCGGTATAAGTTGATTTTCACTAAAAGACTGAATGAGTTTTCGTTTAACAATCAGTATTAGTTAATTTGTAATTGATTTTACCGATTTTTGCTATTGGTCAAAAAATGTGATGAATCACATGACCAATCGGCAAAAATTATGCCAAAAACTCTTGATGGTCAAAAGTTTTGATTTCGACCAGTGATATATGGAATTTTTAACATATATTATTAAAAAGTAAGTATATTTTAATAAAATATAAAGTAAAATAAAAATTTATATAGCCTTAGTAGCTATAAATGTTTATAAAAGTATAATAAAAATATCATATAAAAGATGGTATCATAATAAATATTTTCAAACAATAAAAATAATTATTTTATGTCAGAGTTTGTATTACCATCTTTAAACGCAAATATATCAAGATTCACTGATCTGTTTTCTATAATTTTAGGCTCGTTGGAAAGCCCTTATTCTGGGCTTTATAGGCGAAAAAAGAGCTTGCCGATTGAATCATTAGATCTGGAGATACTTTTTAACATGCTTAAATGCAAATATCTTGGGATCCATTAATCCATTTTTTATAAATTTAGGCTTTTTGGAAAGCCTTTGATCTGGTCTATATGAACAAAAAAAGAGCTTGCCAATTGGATCACTGGATCTGGGGATATTTACGTTTTAAAATTGAAATACAAATTTTTAACATATATAGTAAGTGCTAAGAATTATATTAATTTAAAAGAAATATTTACCAAATTATAGTATAATAACATTAAATAAAAATNAGAGACAGTTATAGTATAATAACATTAAATAAAAATTTTTTAATACTCATTTCCAATTTACTGTATATTATATAGTATTTTGTATAATAAAAATGTAATAAAATTAATATTTTAATTAAAGGTAGACAAATCAGCCCATATAAATATTTTTAATGGCCTGTTAGTAAAAGTTGCTAATAAAATTTTTATTATTCAGTTAAAATTTAAAAATTTATATAATATCCTGATTATTGATTAACAACTTTATTTTTTTTGATATATGATTCATACACAAGTATATGCAATTTTAACTAAATTACTTTTATATAATATTTAGTTTATGCAGATATTTTTTTGAAAGAAAATTGTAATCCATTTTTAAAATTGCTATAACTTTATTATTTAGTATTTTATAAAATCACTGAGTATTTTTTCTAATATGTATTTTTTACAGTAGAATTACTTTAATAGCATATCTGCCGATTTGCGGAATTTGCTGATCATCAGTTATGTGGCGCAGTACCAATTAAAATTGATCAAAACCTGTTCCTACATAAGAAAAAATGTCAAAAAATATATAAAAAAACTTTTAAGACCTCTTCCAAAATATTTACCTCTTTAACCTAAAGCCAGTAGAAGGAGTTTCTAGAAAAAAAAGGAAAAAAATATTATAAAGTTAATTTATTAAAAAAAACAAAAGAAAAACTTTATAAAATTCAGAATATTAAACAACTAATCAATATATAATCTAAATTCGCTAAAATATCGTTATTAATATTTAGAGGTATTTATTTATTGAAAAGATTTTTTTTGAATAATTTTGCTTTCTAAATAAATTTTTCTATAACTATAAAAAAAAAAATAAAAAAACAGCTTCAAATTATATTTAATATAAAATAATTACAAATATACTTGCAAAAATTCTCAACTTACTTGATGTAAAAACTGTTTGAAAAGTTGATGGGAGAGTTGATGGAGAGTTTAATAGGGAGTTTATGAAAGAAAAAAATTTTTTTAACGCTACTTTTCGTTGAAGTAATTTCTTAATATCTGTCATATGATCATGTAGCACAAAGTGTGATCATTTTTGCAAAACTTAATTTACCTAATTTTTATTAAATTATTGTCAAATTCCTTAATTTAGATGCATTTTGTTAATTCCACAGATCGGCAGATATGGCTTTTATCAATTTAAGAAAATCCATATCTGCTGATCTGCAGAATTAACAAAATTCGTCTAAATTAAGGAATTTGACAATAATTTAATAAAAATTAAGTAAATTAAGTTTTGCAAAATGATCACACTTGTACTATATGATTATATGACAGATATTAAGAAATTATTTCAATAAAAAGTTGTGTTAAAAAAATTTTTTTCTTTTGTAAACTCCCTATTAAACTCCCAATCAACTCTCCATCAACTTTTCAACCAGTTTTTATATCAAGTAAGTTGAGAATTTTTGCAAGTATATTTGTAATTATTTTACATTAGACACAACTTGGAACTGGTTTTTTATTTTTATTTTTTATAGTTTATAAAAAAAATTTATTTAGAAAGCAAAATTATTCAAAAAAATCTTTCAATAAAGAAATAACTCTAAATATTAATAATGATGATTTAGTGAAATTAAATTATGTATTAATTAGTCGTTTAATTATAATCTATTTGATATTTTATTATTAATTATTTTTCAGTTAATTTTTTTCGTTAAATCATTAAATATTCTGGATTTTTGTAAAGTTTTTCTTTTTTTTTTAATAAACTAACTTTATAATATTTTTTTTCCTTTTTTTCTAGAAACCCCTTCTATTAGTTTCAGGTTAAAGAGGTAGAAATTTTGGAAGAGGTCTTAAAAGTTTTTTTTTATATTATTTTTAACATTTTTTCTTATGTAGAAACAGGATTTGATCAATTTTAATCGATACTACGCCACATAATTGATAATTGGCAAATTCTGCAAATTGGCGAATATGTTTCTATAATTTTAACCTTTTAGGAATTTCTTCATTCTATAGATCTATAGTAATGATAATGTTTTCAAATAAATATTTGGAAATAGATACTACTGTAAGACAAAGTCCATTTGATTGAAGACTATACAATTCAATCTATGTAATGTAATCTTTTATTTTTTTGTTGATATCAGTAGATTAAGGATGCTTGTCAAAACTATTTTTTCAAAATTTTAGTTTATTCAAAATTTAATCTGAATTCTAAAACTATTTTTTATAATAAACTTAATTGTCTAAACTGTTTTTATACTTTTCCAAAACTAATTATAATTTAGAAAAGTTTTAGATTTACTAATTTTTTCATTAAAATAAAGTTTTGAATTTGATTTTTGAATTTTATCATTAAATGAATTTTAGGCAGCACTACAGTAAGTGTTGTTAAATTATTTTTAAACAATACTCTAATTTATTTAAAAAAAATTTAACTTAGACCTGGGAGATCTAGACTTTTAACTTAAACCTTATATTCAGCTAATCATTATTAGCTATTTACCACTATTTTTCTTTCATACAAAATAAATGCTTACTCTCTTTCTTTTTCTTACACTACTGACTACTTTTTCATTTAGTCTTTTTTCTTTTATATTTTTTTTTGCACAAATTATTTTTCTTCTTTTTATATTAGAATAATAAAAAAAAACCTTTTTATCAAAAATATTAAATCTAATAAATACAAAGTGTTCTTTACACTTTAACACTTGAAATAGGTAAGTTTATTATGGTTTTTTTGAGGTTTGGATTAAATTATTATGTATTGTTTGAAACTTCTTTCAACTAAAGTTTGTGATTTTACTAACATGTGTGTATTTTTGTAGATATTCATGGTATAATTTTAGCATTTTAGTTAAAATTAATTGGCTTTGGTTGGTGTGTTGAAAAATAAAATTGTTTGAATATCATATTTACCTTCAATGAAAATTCGGGAAAAAAGTATTTTCATGGTATTTTTTTTTAAAATAAGGTTATTTTGTAAGTAGAGAATAAATGAAATATAATAAATAATTCTTTACCCGGTTGTCAAATATTTGATAAATATTTCTGATTATTGGTTTAGTTTATTTTATATCATTTTTTTGTCATAAAAAAATTCTTACAATAAAAAAAAATTAATTTAAAAATCTTGAAAGTTTTCTGATAAATGTTATACGCGTATTAGCGTATATTATAAAAAAAAATTTATGAAAATTTTTCTATAAATGTTACGCGCTTATTAGCCAAATAGCCGTATATTATAAAAAAAATTTTATGAAAATTTTTCTAAATGTTACGCGTGTATATGGTATATTTTCTGCTGATTAAAACAATCATATTTAAGGTGGGTCTAGGATAAGAAGCCTGGACCCTGAACCGGGGTCTAGGATAAGGACGCTCTTTATTTAAATCTCCTTTTCTTTTACCACGTGTACTTAATACTCCATCTTCCTGTACAAGTAATTCTGTTCCCAATGACTTTAGAAGACCTTTCCTATCTAATCTAAGGGTACTTCGACCACCAATATTTAAAAGCTCTTTTAACTTTTCATAAGAATTGGAAGTTTGCTCTCCACACCTTAATTTCATATCGGCTTTTCTGAAAAAAATGCCTTTCTAATTAGTGGTGTCCAAATATAAGTATTAAATTTGATTTCAGATGTTAATTGTAATAAAATATCATTTTTGTACATTAAAAAAAACTGATCCAACAGCATCTGCGAATCTCATTTTTATCCAAATGAAAAATTTTAAGAATACACACTGAATAAATCATGCTACACGGTGTTTCAAGCTCAGCTAAATTAATATTATATTAATATACTTAATTTCCACTCGCTATAAGATGTTGACGAATTCTGATTAATATTTCCAGCACTTCACGACTTCTTTCTGGTTCTGCAATATTCAGGGTTTCAGGCCAGCCTCTAGAATGTTTTCCCCTGGCCATCTTAAAATTACAACTGATTGTTCTTGTGGCAGACCCTCACCAAGTTCTATCAAATATGATGCAGAGATCACAGCCTTGTAAAACGTAACGTATATTGAGATGATGCGAACAACATAAATGGTCTGGTCCCTAGCCACACGAGCTTGACGCATATTTTCGTCACTACAGGCGAGTATCTCAGCAACAATTTGCCATTCCCCATAACCTTTCGAAAGACCAATGGTTTGCAGGTGTTTATCCTGTAGAGAACTGCTAAGTTAATAAATAAATATGGTCCTGTCAGAAAATAAAACATACCTACCTCTACAGAAATCATGGACGTGTCTATCATATTAATCGAAAATTCAGGGTCTGCTGTCAAATAAGGATATTCTCCAATGAACAGTCTGCATTCTTGGTGATTTCTGAGTTTAGGAATGCAAACTTTAGAACGCATCATAAACAAAAAGATTCTACATAACTACTCACCTAATCGCCGAAGGAAAAGTATTCAACCAACAATACGAAGCAAATCAGCCACCAATGTATAGTTTCATCTGTTCCTGTTATTACCGTTGCATTCCTTGCCTTTTGGATACCACACTGGATTTTAGTTTTTTAGCTTTATTTCAACTTCAGAAGGTGAGTGTTTTTTTTTAAAAAAAAAGTTACTTCATAGAAACATTTTACTAACTTTTTTTTTTGATAATTAAATTTAAATGATATACTTTTAGTTTAGTAATAGGAGATATTGTTGCATATATTCATCATTTTTAATAATATGTAAAATGTTGAATACAACCCAATGCAATTTGAGAATAAACGTCCGAACATCATTATCAGAAATTCCGTCAAACTTTCTGATATAGAAACTTCGTTTCTCAAGCTTTTCGTGATTGAACGTATTGTTCCGGAAAGTTTTTTCATGAACAATAAAGAAAATAAACCGAAAAGTCCGAAATTTTTTTTATTGATGCACAAAATAGCATATCACGTGAAGGTGAGTTTAAAGCAGTTATTGTTTCTTGATTTGGAAATCAGAGATCACCTGTGATATATTTCTTAATATCACATTTGTATCACGACATGATGACCTTAAGAAATTATTAATAATATTTATTCATCATTTACAAATTTTCATCATTTACAAATTTTAAAAATTGCATATCAGATATATTAACAAAGAATATTATGGGATATTAAAATGTAATTACATAATCTTTCTTTTTAATGATTAACGAATACACAAAAAATAGATCAAAAAAAAAAAAAGATCAAGGCACATAAATGAAATGCGAAATTTCCAAGAAACTTATTTGCTCGATATAATTACATTGACGGCATCAACTTTAATACGTCCATCTTCAAGAGCTTTGGAAGAATGTTGTAGATTCTCAAAATAAGCATACGCAAGACTTTTCTATAAAATGGAAAGAATGTGATTAATAAGAGAGTTTTGTAGGAAAAAAAATTATTTTATTTGATTACGCTACGTTTTGTTGATCTGGTTCAATGTCATATATTGGACCATAAGCTCTTTCAAGTTGATTTTTCACCATTTTGAGAGAAATTGAATTTTTAATATTTCGGAGAAGTACTCTATATCCATTATGCTCACTATCTCCGTTATTTTCATATCTATCTTCTGTAAAAAAAAGAAAAAAACAATTTCATTTAAAATTGACGATTTTTTTTTTCGGTAAATGTAACAAAAAATCAAATTACCATGTTCAAGATCATTCGATGATACATTTTCGATAGAATGTTCAGAACCATGACTAGTATTTTGACGATATCGACGTTGATTATGATAATGATTATGATAATGATTTCGACGCTGATATTGACTACTGCTTTCATCATCTTCTACTTCACTTTGTAATTTATTAATTTCACCTTTCAGCGTTTTAATATTTTCGTACATCATGTCAATTAATTGCTGTTGGGTATTAATTAATCTTGCTTGATCCTCAATAATTGCCTGTTTACTATCAATTATTCTTGATTGATCTCTATTAATTTTTTTTATTGTTAAGAGCTGTTCTTCAGAACAAAATTTTGAGCTCATTTCTAGAATATTTTATAAACGTCAAGGAAAAAATATTAAATCGAATTATATACTAAAAATTATTCTTTTTTTAAGTGGGGAAGGGAAAAGAAATCGTTTGTGAGAAAAAAAAAATGAAAATCGAGAGAGAATTCGGACTTAAATGAGAATTTATAAGGAAACTTAAATAAATGCAATATCATGCACATATATAAGAAACAATTCATCATGTGATGAAAATATGCGCAGTATCTGTTTCACAGATCACATGATTGTTTTGTAAAAGGCCAAAAACTTTCCATTATTAGCCTTAGCTTATTAGACATGATAACAGACCCAATTTTTGTGCAACAGTTTCAAATTATTGAATGCACAATAACTTAAAAAAAAAATTGATAATCATTGAAATTTTTTTGATTTATTACAGAAAAAAAATCTACATAATAATATATATATATATATTTTTTTCTTTTTTTTCTTTTAAAAAAAAAAAAAAATATCTGGTTCCTGTATTAAGTGATTTTAAATTATCTTATTCTTCATCATCATCATCTGAAGTTAATCCTTCTACAATAAGATTTGCACTTGGCCAAAGCCCTCGCTCACTTTTTATTTCTTTAAATTTATCCACATGATGAACAATGCGTGGATACGGTGATACTAATAAAAAGTCAAATGTGTGCTTATAATTTGACGGTGGTTCAGAAACTGTCGAAGATGAAGCCTCGTTTTTTAAGTGATACGTATCAACAAAAATGTAAGCCGTCTATATAAGATAAAAAGAATAATTAAATATATAGTAACTCATTTTAAATAATCCCATTAGGAATAATCACCTCAACAGTATCAGTTGCCCTAAATTTTCTCACTACTCTTTCTCCGTTAGCTAATTTAAAGCTCAATTTAGCCACTTCAGTTTCGTTTGGATGTGGCTCATCGGGTAATTGTGTTATAGCCCATCGCCTCCAATTCTCTCTGTTTAATGCAAGTAATTGACGGGCTTCTTCCTCTTTTCTTGCACGTTCCTCTGCCAGCCTTTTTGCTTCGGCTAATTCATGTGCTTTTCTTTCTTTTTCCTGGTCCGCTTTTAATGAAGCTAAATATGCATCATCTTGTTGTGCACGAATTTGTCTTGCAGCTTCATGTCCTGCACGCTCACTTCTAATCCTCTGAAGTTCCGATCCATAACGATTAATTGATATAGTAAGTCTGGCAATCATATTCTCTGGAGTTGAAAATCCTAAGCATTTTTCAAGTAAACAGTTGGATTAGTAATATTACAATACCAAATGCATCATTGATTTATTTACCTTCAAACCGGTCCACAGCAATCATTCTCGGACTAGATCCGGTACTTCCATGAGGTATTTGGGCAACAATTATAGCAATAAACGGATATGTAGTTGCCTGTAATGTAATACTTGCTAATAAAACACTATGTTAGAAAATAATTCTAATATATATATTTAATTAAAAATAGGTCAAACCTTGAAACGATTCTGGGTCCTTTACGTCTCCTGCCCATGTTATTATATTGTTCTCGCGGAGAAACGTTATTAATAATTCAGATGTTAACGTATCCCTGGAGATTTTCGATTGATTAATTTAATATATAACAAATAGATCGAAGTAAATATAAGAAATAACTTCTAAAATATTTTTACCGGTTGAATTTATCTGTATCGTCGTGCTCGTCTGATTGAAGTATTACCATAACAAATCTGAGCTCATTTTTTGCTCTTTCCATTGCCTAATTGGAAATCGAAAAATTACATTTATATTATTTATATATTGATTCAACTCTCTTAAACCAACGAATGGATATAACCATTAATTATTACCTCTGAAAGAGTTCCGCGAAAAAATTCTGGATGTACATTGCCATATTTTTCCACAAATTTTTGGATGAACTGTGTAGCTAATTGTGAATTTCTTTGACGATTTTGACCGTCACCAACTGCAGGCCTTGGAATAAGAAAGTAAAGAACTATTTGCAGAACTTCCCTAATAAAATTCATACAAGCATATAATATGGCCATTAGACCCATGTTTGCGATCGTTCACTTAGAACTGTTCACCAAACATTAATCGCAAGGAACGCCCTTTAACAACAGATCCTGAATAAAGTCTAAAATATTTCAAATTTTTCAAATATTTCTAGGAACAAGAATCGCCTCTATTAGGTACTTTTAATCGATAGTTTTATGTTTGAACCCTATGAATTATTTCTTAAAAACACGAGTTCGCTTTACAACCCCGCTTATAAACTCCCTATAAATAGATTAATTTCAAGATTTGAATCTGCATATTTGCATATGATCGCAGAAGACTGATAGACTTTTTATATACAAGTTGCATATTGTAATTTAGCCATTGACTGTGCTAATTACGTAGTACAACTATATCTCATAATTAAGATTAGATAATATAATATTTGTGGCAGAAAGTGCCTTAGTTTTTTTTTCCTTTTAAACAAAGACTTTGCATTTGGTTTTATATTCTTTGTCCATTTATTTTTTACTTAATTTCAAATACACAGTTCATACACACTTAACGAGGTACGCGTTTTTTTTTATAGTTTACAGTTTATTATAACAAAATTATTAACATTCATTCCTATTACCTTAATAATAGATGGTTATTCCAGACCACTCTAACCTTGGTTCGGTCAAAGATAATATTAAAAAATTCGAAGCTAATCCAGACGAAAACCCTGGACAAATACAACCCCTGTCTCGTTCTCGTAGCCCAGTCGGAAGACTACCAATTAATTCTGGAATTGAGGCAAATGCGGAACAAGCTCAGCTTAAGGCACCTTCTTCCAATTCAAGTGGAACAATAACATATAGTTACGGAAATACAACAGAAGAAACAGTCGAACAAAAGGACATAGCCGATTCCTCAAATACCGTTACCTCGGAAAACTCGGAAAAAGAAATTGAGGTAAAGCCAGATGAGCCTGATAACAATGTTGCTGAAAAGGAACAAGATAATGTCACCATAAGTGTTAGTGAAGTCCCCGAAACAACTAGTGAGACGGTAGAACAAACTGAACCTGCAAAAGAAAGCAATTCTGACGAAAACAAAGAACATGATGCTAAAAATGTTGCTCAAGAGGAACCCAAAAAAGTTAAAAAAACTGGTTCTGGATCAACAAAGAAACCTCTGGCAAGCAATAAAACTACTCAACCTTCCAAAATCGCGAGTACCCAAAAGAAATCAATCAAACCTGCTGAAAAGACCACTAGTAGCACTACAACTACCTCAACTACATCAGCAACAAAGAAAAACGTACCTAAATCAAAAACCACATCCACAACAGCTACAACACATGGTAAACCTTCCTCTACTGATAAAGCAAAACCAGAGGCCTCATCATCACGTGCGACTGCCGCCAAAACCGTTCCCACCAAAACCGTTCCCACTAAAACCGTTCCCACCAAAACCGTTCCCACTAAAACTGTTCCCACTAAAACCGTTCCCACCAAACCCGTTCCCACCAAAACCACTACCACCAAACCCATTGTTGGCAAAACTGCCACAAAACCCACCAGCAATACTAAAACTTCGGGTTCAACTGATAAAAAACCAGCTGCCAAATCTTCTGGAAAATCAGGTGCTTCCAAGGATGCCAAAAGTTCTGCTAAAGATGCTAAAGAGGATCCTAAGAAAAATGACCCCACTAAGAAAGCTTCAAAACCAGAAACAAAAAAGAAAACAGATTTAAAGAAGGATGAGAATGAAAAGGCTATAGAACATGAAGTAGAATCTCATTCAAAAGAATCTCATACAGAAGAATCTCATACAGAAGAATCTCATACAGAAGAATCTCATACAGAAGAACCTCATATAGAAGAATCTGAGGTTAAACCTAACAATGAAGTTGAGGATGAACATCACCATGCTGAAACTCGTAGTGAGGTTTCAGCTGCTGAATCTCATGGATCTCATGGATCTCATGAATCTAACGGTGAAGCTTCAGTGGCCGAGTCGGAAGATAAATCTCATGTCGAGAGTGTTGAGGAATCTCACGAAAATCATGAAAATCATGATGAACCCTCCGAAGCTCATGAGGAAATTACTGAAGAAACTACTTCAGAGGCTCAAGAAATTTCCGAGGAAACAAGTGAAAAGCAACCTAGCGAAACCGATGTTACCGAAACTATTACTAGCGACGAGATTAAAAAATCTCCCGAATTATCTCAAGAACCTTTTTCACAAGCTAAACTTACGGGCCCTGATACTGTTGAAGTTACAACTATTGAAACAGTAGAAATTGTGAAAGAACCTTAAGAGTTTAAGATGATATCCTTTGACAGACAAATAGTTTTTATTATTTGTATTTATTTGAAATTATCCTGTTAGATTTTTTTATGATTCTTATACCACATCAATTAACAGAAAAAAAAATTTTATGTTTAGAATATGTTGATTGCAAATTTTTATTCTGGTTTATATGTGGAATTAATAGAAAAATTTTGACAGTTGAATGTATTATATTAAGTTGATATTTCAAGGAAAAAATTATCAAATATTTGAAGTCATCTGGTGTAGTACAACTTTTATATGTTATATCTTATCATGTATTGTCATATTAGATGTTAAAAGCTTATAAAAAAAAATGATACAGATATAATAATTTACATTTTGTGTGTATACCGGTTTTGTTTGATTTGTATTAAATATTTCACTCAGCTAGATATATAAATATGATCATTGCATTTTATTATTTTCAAAATAGGCTTTTTTTGACTGTAATATATAACTATAAATATTTAAATATATATGTAACATTTTTATATTGGAAAAAATGGGATTTAACTTTATTATTAGTATTATATAAAAAGAGATGAGATGGTGTAAAAAATTAAATGTCACATTTCAATATTTTATTCAAAAATTAAAATAAAGAAAATAAAGATGATTATTTAGATTATTTAATTAAAGTTGTTATATTCTTTATTTCTATACATACAAAATTTAAATATTTAAAAATCATTATGCTTGTTTATAAACATGCAAATCTATAAGATAACATGATAAAATAGCTGCTATTAATGCCATAAATCCCCCAAATCTCAGTACCCATCCTACTGCATCGTTATTTCCAATTTCAACATCTTCACTATTTGCATTAAAAAGTTTAAATATTCCAGAACTTATTAATGAAATGACAAATTGAGGGAATACAATATACATATTATGAACTCCAAGCATCATTCCTGCATCGAACTCCTCCTCTTCTTCATTTTGCTCATCTGGAGTAACCAAAGGAGATGATGATGACGACGAAGCTATTGATGATACATGCTCGATATCGGGATTCTCGATAGGTCTAACATGTGTGTTTTCAACAATAGCTTCAACATTTTCCTTTTGAACAAATTCTCCTACGAGCGCAAAAGGAATCCACATAGCGATTGCCCATGGAACACCAACACTAGCAATAACTGATATTGCATGGTATTCGGTACGTACAAAAAATGTAGTCATCATTATAATGAAGAAAATAATATGTGATGCGATATATATGTTATAAACGGTAAATGGATTACGACTCGGATAAGTTGATGGAGTAAAAAGTGGTATAATAACACCAGCTGCTACTGATACAAATGAAAATAATAATAAACCGAACGAGCCAGCTCTTGTGGCTTTATAAATGAAATCTTCATCATTTGGATCTTCTGTTGGGTGTGTTTGTGCATAAATTTCTGCCACCCAAGTTGTACTATGAAATGGACCAAATTAACTATTCATGCAAAAAAAAAGGTAAAAATAAATTTTAGAAATAATCTTACCTAAAAAACAAAAACGGAAACCATCCCATCCAAGCGAAAAACTGAACATTGCAAATTCTTTGAATAGGTACCGGAAGGTATCTAAAAGCTTTATAAATATATACGATGGTATGCCACCACGGTCTAGATAAGATTAAAAATTTTTTTAAAGATTAATTGCTAAAATTAATTTAATATATGTATTATAATTATTTTAAAATGAAATTCCTCAAATACATAACTTGTCATCATCAATTGCTTCAAATACTTTCTCTTTCACACTTAAAGATGTTATAAGTAATGATAATATAAATATTACACAGGCAACAATACAGAGTACCTTCAACTGAGTATCCCCTAACATTGGAAATAACGCAGTTAAGTCCAGAAAGCCTGTAAAATAACCGATGACATTTCCTATGTGCAACATTCTTCCTGCCCACGCATTTCCTGTTTCTTGTTGATAAAGAGGAGGAATGTCAAGTATCAATGCACGACATGACGCTTGAACCGCATTTATGGAAAAGTCTAAGCAATAAAATGCTAATACTGCAATATACACTGCAATCTTGTTGGCCTAAAATAAATATTATTTGAATTAAGTATAATAATATAAACAATTATTATCATTTTTTCCAAAATCTCCATTAATAATTTACCTCATCCCGATCATCCCCATTCTTCGAGTTAATCATTCCAAGATATACTTTAGCCCATTCCCTTGAATACGCGATACCTGCCATCGAGAGACAGACTAAAAATCCTCCAACTATAATAAAAGGACGTCTTCTACCTAATTTATAAGTACTTTTATCACTGATTGCTCCGACAAGAGGTTGTATCAATAAACCCGATAAAGGTCCTGCAAGCCATACTAAAGCTATTAGCTCTGTAGTAAGGCCTAAAGACCGTAGATATGGTGAACCGTAACTGGTATACAACGCGAATATTTTTTGCCCGAATTGAAATATTTTGCATTGATTACGATCGAAGAATTTGATCGATTGAATTATTTAATAAATTGATTTATAATTTTTAAATTGAAAATTATTTTACAACGAAAATTATTTACAACGAAAATTTCGTAAAGAAAAAAAAAATTTTTATTCAAAATTATAAAGTACTCACGCCAATTCGACTGTCCCTAAAATAATAATTTATTTAAACTTTAATGGTATTAAATTTACAGGAAGGAAAAACGGAACATAGAAAAAATATATATAGAAAAAAAGATAGACTACTTAAACTTTAAACTAAACACGACCCTCGCTTGTTTAAAAAGTTTATTCAAGTACTCACAAGTAAATTGAAGGCCGGCCATACATGCTGTTAGCTTAATCATTTCCCACGTTGATAAAGAATTGTTATCATAATCAATATCATTTCTGTTTGTCGAATTGTATTTAGTTGGTTCGTTAGAATTTAAACGTTGAAGTTCGTCCATTTTAATTATAAGAAAAGGAAATAGGCGAAGTTTGAGTATTTATATAACAATACCACTACAAAGTACAAACAAAAATGGATCGGTCCCCGACATTGTTGATTTAATTATGACAGAACTGTCCTATTCAAATATAGTAAGTATTATGTAAATAATAGCCAATGTCCAAGCCCTACCCCTGTCATTCGGAACTTGGAAATTCCAGTCATGTGATATACAGCTTTGAAAGTAAAACACAATTCCAACTTCTCGTTCACAAATCAAAGAGGGTAAGTAAATTTCGTTTCTCAATCGTTAAAAGACAAATCATATTTTAAAAGCCACGCTAAATCAGCAACCGGAAAACTAATTCTGGCTGGCATTAAACAAGTCTGACCAGTTTTAATTCCGATTCAGCTAAAACCTAAGAAAAGATAATGTCATAACGGGTAAAAATGGGTAATATCCGTTTATATCCTAACCCGGGCATGACCCGGGTAACTAATTATTTATCCCGTGTTGTAGCTCAAAGTTCATTAACATCAAATAGAGATTAAATTTTTGAGTTCGAATTATTTTTATACAGACAGTGCATCAATTATATAATATAACTGATTATCTGATTTTTCCGATCTTGTATGACAAATATCAAAATAATCTGATTATAGGGAATTTTCATATATAGTTGTAGACAGCGTTGAGATACTAATGTCCAGATTATTTTTTGGGTTAGATTCAATTGCGTATTTTATTTAGAACGCTAAAAATGCACACATCTAGTTTGTTTTAAAAAATTCTTTTCTAAATAATCATATATCATTTTTCATTAAATAATTTTCTTATCCACCATGTAATGTAGATATAAATACTATATCATCTCCATCTTTAATTTCATATTCTAATTCTCCTTCTAACTCCCAATCAGAATCATTTATTAATACTAATATACCCGGGCGACTATAAATAATTTTTTTTTTTTTTAAGCAAAAAGATTAATCAGTAAAATTTTGAATAATAATATGCAAGAAAATTTTGGCCTACACTGTATCTCCACTCATAAATAATTCTGGGCGTTCTTTTAATAAGTTATCTTTCATCCATGATATCTTTTACAAAAATTTAAAATTTAATAAAAAATTAATAAAAAAAAAGATAAATAAAATTAATGAGTAAATGTATAAATAGGATGAATACAAACCAAATCTTTCATTGTAGTGGAATTTGGTGGATTAATCGACGATGGTATTTCTACACTTTTTTGTTTAATATTATCGAATAATAATTCTATTCCACCACTTTTTAAAAGAATTTTATTTAATAAAATATCCATTAAAAATAATTAAAAAATTTATCATCCTACCTAAATGATAATTTTATTTTTAGTAAAGACATTTTTTTAGGAAAGAAAAAATTAAGATTGATTTTTTCATTAGTCAGTATGGAACCTAATATGTAACCACTAAACTTGTTAAGTGGCGCAGATTGATTATTTAAAAAAAAACTAACCGAAAAATATTTCTATTTTTCGTAAATTAAATTGGTAACGCGAAAAAAAAGATTTACGACACGCGTATAATGAATGTACGACATGCACTCGGATGCAATAAAATACATGAGATACGGTTTTATTGGTAACCGACCTTCTTGTATAAATTCCTCTTTTAAAAGAAATTGACGGTTTGAATAACTGTCCTTTTAATACCATTTTCTTCCGCCTTCCTACTTTTTCATAACCTTTTCTCCGTATCAGCCTAAAATTTTGTAGTCAAAACAAAAAAAAAATATACATTTTTCCAGCTTTTCCCGCTCATTTTTATACTTTACACACACAAAGTAATTACTCTAATACGATAAAGATGGTTTCGAAAGTCATAGATTACCGAGTTTCTAGAGTCGTAATTCTTTGCAAGGATTGTGGTCAAGACGTTGGACTATACCCTGCTAGACATAAATGTGGAATACCTTCTTCAGAAACACCACCCTTACCATCAATACCGAAAAAATATCTTTCTGCAGAAAAGACTGGTTCCAATATACCGTCTAATAATTCAGATAATGATTACTCTGGTGAAAGCTTATGGGGTAAACTTCGATCTATTCGTAATTGGAAGGATACTAGCGTCGAAGGTGACAAAATTTAATTATTTTAAAAAAATAGTTCTTCAGAAATTTCTATGCATAATCTTAATAATCATTTTCTTTTGTTTAGATGTAACGGATAATACTCAAAATTCAAAATTGTGGAACAAGATTTTAGCCTTAAATAACAACAATGCTGATGAATCCGACAATGGTATGAAAAAATAATGACATTTTTTATTTTTAAATAAAAATTAATTTTTTTCAATTTACTTTATAGAATCAGAAAAAGATGAGTGGGAAGGAGAAACTCATATTTCACGTATATTACGGGAATATTATGAAAATAAAGGGGCCGACCTTCCTGATTGGCTATATGATTTAGATTCAAAAACGTCTGTTTCATCAACACAAATGAATTCGGATTCAAATAAGGCTGCTAATAATGACAGTAATTATAAAAAATCAAATGATAATATTAAAAGAGGTCGTCAGCCTATAATTTATGATTCAAGAGACTTATTAACATCACCAACTTCAATAAACTATCCTTCATCACCAACTTCAATGAACTATCCTTCATCACCAACTTCAATGAACTATCCTTCACCAACTTCAATGAACTATCCTTCATCACCCGTGAATAAGGGAGGAGAAAGGAGTAGAGATAGGAGTAGAGGTAGGAGTGGGGATAGGAGCAGGGATAGAAATGTTCATCCACCAAATTCATATAATGATCAATACCGAAACAATAATCCAAAAAAACCGGATTTAAGTTATAATGATAGAAGTATAAACAACACTTTACCTCCAAGACCTTCCCCTAATGTGCGTTCAACATCTGATGATGGAGGAAGGTTAATGCATAAAAAATCACATCAACAATTACGAACAGGAGTTCATAATCCTCCTCAAATTCCTACAAATAGGTCTAGAAGTGTTAGTCCAAACCCTCCTCGTTCACATCAACATCAACAATTTATTCCTCATGATGTAAGAAGATTTAATCATAATATTAGGCAATTTGAAGGGGATAACAGAAATAGACAGGGGGCTCTACTTACAGGTCCACGTGGTCCTGATAGAATTAATAGACAAGGTGACTTCTTTTAAAAGAGTATTTTAGGTTTAAATTTTTACATTGATTTATTAAGAGGAATAGATATACTCAAAAACAATTAACTAATAATTCTCGTTCCTTTAAAAAACAAACACCTTTTTTAGTTAGATATTAATATAATTTAATTCATAATTTTCTATTCAATAAATTAATTATTTTGTATAATTTAAATGTATTTATTCCAAGTATATAGCGGAGCGGGTAGGTTGATTTTGGATTAATAAAAATAAAATTGTAGTAATATTAATGAATTTATAATTTTCATCTCTCTTTTTTTTTAAATATTAAAACCCAAATTACGCATGCAAGCTTTATGAGCTTCAATTAAATCTTTACATTTTTCTTCATCACCGGTTTCAAAAATACATTGATCCCTATTTCTTTTTGTTTCAGGACATGCACAGCAAGGTTTAATATTTGTTGTAGTTGACGTAGTTGACGTTGTTAACGTTGTTGGTGTTGGTGAAATTGAAACGGAGCTTGTAAAGTTGGTACTAGTTGTTTGAGTCGTAGTTTTGGTCGAAAGTGTAGAAGACATTTTTTTGCAAAAAAAAAAAGAAATTTTAGAAACGTTAATCACTTGATATAATCACATGACATGCCGATTTTGACCAGTGAGCGTACGAACTGGGCCGAGTTTAGAAGTTATGCACTTGCACGTGATAGCGTTACGTTAACTCTGGCCAGTTTGTACGTTAATATCGTACACCACTGTCATTAAACTATTATATAGGGACAAAAGATATCGGTACATGTTATATCGCGAAATTATATACAATATCGGTACATGCAATTATCGGTACATAGGTATCGGTACATCGAGTTTGACTGTAATTGACTTTTATTTGTTTTACAATCTATACAAAATATAATGTTATTTTAGATTTCTTTTCCAATTCAGACCATCATCGCTAAAATTTTGTCTCCACAAAATTTCATTAATGTAATACATGTTTTCTACATGACAATTATATTTGCAACTATATATAAATAATGTACCCCAATCAAGTGAACTTTGTTGCAAATGATCAATTTCAAGATAATTAAGAAGCGTAGATAATATCTATTTAAAAAATAATCGGTAACTTATTTCTAACAGAGAAAATTCTTTTTTTTTTTTGAGATTAAAATTACCTGGAATTCCAAGGTTCTTTCTTGTCCACAGTGTGGACATGGATTTATATCTTGTACAGTTGGTTTATCGATATCACTAACCCATAAAGGCTCGGGATTTTTTTCACTTTCATACTCAATTCTATTATACCTTATTATTTGCTCAGGATATGGTTCAATTCTCTTTTGAAACTTTAAAAATGCTTTATCAACATCAACACCAGTATTTTCATAAACTTCATCTCCAACTGGAACGAGTGCTTTAGAGTTAGATGAATTATTATCGCCATCTCTTTCACCATAATCTTCTTCCTCTTCTTGATCTTTTCCTTCCTGTTCTGTAACAATCTCATATTCGGGAAATAAAACCAATTTTCTACAATGGTTGTTATGCTCTTCAATAATTGATGTTGTTGATATTGTATTACAGTGAATTTTATGTTGACCGGAAGTCCAATGTTCAATTTGATGTTCTTTTGAACAATAGTTAACTTGATTACATTTCCCGCACATTTTAGATCCAAGTAATCCACAAACTATACATTGCTTAGCTAATAGTTTACGAAATACAACAAACAGTTAATTGTCTGTAAATTACATAATTTAAATGAATATTGATTATACCAGGTGACTTCTTTTTAGTAGTACTATCAAGGGATGATTCATTTTCTTGCCAATAAATGTTATTCTTGGGTAATTGACTTCGAAATACTTTAAAGCTATTTATAAAAAAAACTATTAGTTTAAATTAATATTCCAGAGGGTATACAAACCAACCTTTTTCTCCAAGAAATTTTGTGACATGATCCATTTTTACAACAAAATACATATATAGTACGGTGAAATGCTTCGGGAGGATAATCCTCAGGAGTGTATAGCTAAAAAGTGTATAAATAAATGCTCTATATTCTATTTTATATAAATTCGGTTTAACATAAACTAAAAAGTATAATACTATATACTTGAACCAAGAGTATCATTGGTTTACAACAAACTTCACAACGAACTTGTTCTGCTAATAATATATGCTCTGGATTTAACCATGCCTATAAAAAATTTTTTCTCGACAAAGTTAAACGCATAAATTTATTTATTTACAAATTGTTCAAATAAAAATTACATACCGGCCTTCCTCCAATTTTACTAGGAAAATTTTCGGCTATAAGAGGACTTTCTGGTGGCTCGGCGAAGCCAAGTTCTACGACCGCGGTCGAAGAGGCTGCCATGGCCTTTTATTATAAATTAATAAATAAATACCCATCGTAATATTTTTTTAGGCTTTTAAATTACACAGCAATTCCCGAATTTGGTTTGCATGCCGGTTTTTACGCGTATTACGAATTTACCATGAATTTTAATCCCAAACATCCCTAACATAGATCCTGGTACGTTTATTTTTTCGTTAAGCAGGAAAATGACAACCAACGAAAATCAAGAGTTACAACAAGAAGAATTCGTAGCACTTTCTTCAATATTTGGTGAAGAAGCTTTTCAATTAGACACTTTTTCCTCTGAACCATATCTTGCGTACACTTTTAAATTATCTTTAGAAAATAATGTTATTCTTCCCGAAGAAAAATCAAACATAACAGAACAAGATAGAAATTTTATTAATAAATCATCCAGAGAATTTACTCTAAGATTTCATTTTCCGCCTGAATATCCTTCTTCTGAACCTCCAAGTTACGAAATAAAAAGTTTATATTGTGGTACATTAAAAATAGATCAAAGTATAAAAGATGACATTGAAAAAAATTTTAAACGATTATTTATTCCTGGTGAAGTTGTTATATTTTCTTGGATTGAGTGGCTTCAAGATTTTATGATAAATAAGTTAAAAATTTATGAAAATGAAGATGCTACGTTAAAAAATATGATACAGTCCGAGCATCAGATAATTGAAATAGTGCATTTCGCAAATGTTGCAAATACTGAAGAACAATTGAATGAGGAGAAGATTGAGTGTCCTCAAATAACACATGGAGATCAATTCGAACATAAAAAATCTATATTTGTTGCTCATCTAGCTTCTGTATATAATTTACAACAAGTTAAACTTGTAAGATCTACTTTATTATTAGATAAAAAAATAGCCAAAGCTTCGCATAATATAATGGCTTACAGAATTGTTCAAGAAAATGGTATAATATTACAGGGTATGTTTAATACAATTTTCCTTTTAACTTTCTTTATTTTAAGATTTACTTTATTGTAATTTTTGTAGATAATGATGATGATGGTGAAACTGCAGCTGGAGGCAGATTACTTCATCTGTTGCAATTAGTTGACGCAAAAAATGTTATTGTAATAGTTTCAAGATGGTTTGGCGGAATTTTATTAGGCCCAGAGAGATTTAAAGATATTCAAAATTGCGCCAGAGATCTTTTAGAAAAATGTGGTTATATTACAAATAGTAATGAACAAAAATCTTCGGGAAGAAATAAAAAGAAAAGGTAATTATCATCTTAATTTAATTTTTATTTGCTTATTTTTAATATATAAACTCTATAAACTTATCCTTAGACCTTAGTTAAGTATTTAAGTAATATAGTTGAGTAATTATATACTCTTTACTCTTTCTAGTACTAATATTATTAAGTAATAGACATGTAAATACAAAATAGGTTTATTTATAAATTATAAAAAATGAAGCTTATAACACCATTCAATAACACAAAACAAGGCTCAATTCATCCAGGATTAAATTAAATCTCCTTACGTACCTCATATTTCATCATTAATGAATATCGTCGCCTTAAATATTCTTCAGTGATAAACTCAAAATATATGTTCCAAAAAAAAAAAACGGATAATTTAAACAATAATAAAATAGTTGATTTCAAATTTAAATCTAACAAATATTCACATTGTGATATATAATAATAAATCGTGGGTCAAAATCTAAGTGTACTTGCCCATGTTTAACTGAAATGTCCTTAATCCATAGTAAGAGCTATAATAGAAATACGCTAACCAGAACTGTAAATAATTCGGATGTTGGAAAAGTGCCGGCTTAGCAAATTTACAAAAAAGAAATTTGTCAACTGGGCGACCCGGATAAGTAAAGGATAAGGATATAAATAGAATAAAAAACTGGCTACCACCTTTATTAAAAACAGTGAATAAAATCTTCGAGAATTTGCGTACAAATCGTCTATAGAAAAATTTAATAATAAAACAAAAAAGGGATAAAAAGAAATAATGCCAACATCGAACTTTCACTAAAACAATAAAATTTTTTCCGTTTATACAACCGAATACTTGCCGTATCCACCCAACGAAGTACTTCCGGGATTACGAGCTTCGGCTTCAATCGCACTTAACGTAGTTTCTGTCAAAATACGCTTTATTTCATTCTTGGCCTTTTCAACAACATATTCATTTTCCCCTTCAACAAATAAATATAATTTTCTTTCGCCAGAACCAGGTGCTGGTTGACGACCAGGAGCGAAATATGTACCACGAGTAGTGATAGCTGCTCCTGTAAGTTCTGTAATTTGTGAGATTTGTTCCTATTATAAAAATTTAATCAAAATATCAGTAAAATATATCCACACATGATGTGTAGTATAAAAAACATACCTTATTTGTAACTTTCCATCTTGCCTTTTGTGGATAATCATTAATTTCAATTTCAACAGAATATTCTGCAGCATTTTCAGCTTTATCGGCTTCAGGTACTGTGCCTTGCACAGAGTTTTCTTTAAAGCGAGCATTTATATCTGCAATGATGTCTTTCGCTCTTTGAACACCACTTGCACCAACATTCTTAGCATTGACTCGGGCTGCAGCTTCTTGAGCGGCTTTAAGAGCTGTAATTATAATTAATATACGTAAATAATAAAATATGTTAATAATTAAAGTGATCAAACTATTACTTACCCGCAATTGCTACAGGGTTCATATCTGTGGAATGACCATTAGTCGGTGGTGAAATGTTAACTGCAACAGACTTGGGTGTGATAGAAGAAATACCAGGAACAGTCGAAATTTCCTCTTTCTTGACTGACCGCATGAGGTGATCATCATCCTCTGCCTCCTCCTCAGAGGTTTCATCATCAGAAACGTCATATGTCTAAATCAACAGAACAGAATTAATAACTGCTCTTTTAATTTATGTAATAAATTTGCAATAATCTCTACCTTTCTTTGGGCTTTCTTAACGAGGTCTCGTGCTTCATCTAACCTCTCAAGACCTTTACCACCAAATCCTGAGCCAGAATACGTAGCACTTCCCGCCTTGACCTTCTCTTGAAATCCTTTAAAAAAAAAAAACCAATTAAAAATGATTCTAAATATTGGGTATAAACGCTACTAATAATATCTTACCATCGGCAAGTGCTTGTAATTCTGGGCTAACATGACCACCGCTCAATTTTAATGCTTTAACTATGTCCATCGCATATCGATCTTGTTCTGGTGTAATGAAAGTATACGCGGTACCTTTATTACCAGCTCTTCCGGTTCTTCCAACGCGATGTACATAATCTTCCATATGATTTGGACATTCAAAATTAATGACCAATTTAAGCTGTTTTACGTCAAGACCTCTTGCAGCTACAGAAGTGGCTATTAATAGCTGACAAACGCCGGATTTGAAATCTGCTATTGTGCTATCTCGATCCAATTGATCCTAAAACATAAAAAAATGTACAATGGTTATTAAAAATTCGGGTGCAATCATACAAATAAAAAGGTTGATTTATTTGGTTTTTTTTTTTTGTAAAATAAATAAATACCTTGCCACCATGAAGGGACATACAGGGGTAACCTTTTCGTATTAAATCACGCAATAAATTATCTGCTGCCTCTTGACGGTCAACAAAAATTAGAGTACGAGCATCAGGATCGTCATTATATAGCTGACCTAATATTTCAAGTAAGCGAACAAATTTTGTATTATCTTCGCGAACTTCGACTATTTGAGCAACATCTTGTGCTACAACACTGCGTCCACCTACAGTAATTTCAAGCGGCCTTTTGAGAACTTTTCGTGCCAGAGACTCCATCTATATGGGAAAAAATACTTGAATAAATTTTAAATTAAAAGAGCACAAAATAATCTTACTTACCTGGCGTGGAAAAGTAGCAGAAAACAAGACTGTTTGACGATCAGGCCTAACATTATTGACTATTTTCATAACCTAGAACATAGTAAAGTTTATTATGTATTACTCAAATAAAATCACCATAATAATAAAAAATACATACCTGAGGTTCGAATCCCATATCAAACATACGATCAGCTTCATCCAATACAAGATAAGTGACTCTCTTTAAATTAGTAACACGTCCGGAATTAGCACACAATAAATCAATCATACGACCAGGAGTACAAACAATTATTTCAGCGCCACGTTTCAATTCCGCAATTTGATCTTTAATAGGTGATCCACCATAAGCACAAACAGCCTACATTAAAAAAATGCAATAAAAGTAATACAATATTAATAAATGTTATTCTTACACTTTTAAAAAAAAAAAGTATTACTCTACCCTAAGATTTAACCCTTTCAAAAAATGTTTACACTCTTTATGTATTTGAACTGCAAGTTCCCTTGTAGGTGTCATAATAATGGCAATAGGACCTTCCATTTGTTCAAGAGGACGCTGATCTTTGATATGACGAAACATTGGAAGAAGAAATGCTATAGTTTTACCGCTCCCAGTTTTTGCAACGCCAATAACGTCTCGACCAGCCATGATTGCAGGTATTGCTTGTGATTGAATGGGTGTAGGCTTTTCGAAATTTAATTTTTTAATTATTTGCAAACTATTCAATCGACAAAGGATTATGATTAGTACATAATAACGATTTAAACATCAAATTAGCCCTATAAATAATTACCATGCAGCCGGTAAACCCGCATGAGTCCATTTTTGTATAGGTTTCGGACAATCAACACCCTAATTTAATAATAAACGTCAGATATAATATGAATCATAAACATATTATAAGTACTTACTCTGATTTTAATTCCTCCCAATTCAACCCTAAGAAGGTCTACTTGGTCATGCGTCATTTCATGCATTTCTGGAGGCTCAATGTAAAAGTCCTTTCTGAAAGGTTCATATTTAATTTGTGAATGATCAACTGCTGCCAAATCTTTTTTTTTAAGTTTTTTAGCTGCCAAACTGCTCAATTAAAAAGTAAACCAGAAGAATATTATTTAACAAATAATATAAATAGATGAACATTATTTAACTAAAAATTTCGAATAAAACTTACGCTAAAATATCTTCGGGATCACTACCAAGCTCTTCATCTTCAGCATCATCTTCATCCTGTATAGCTTTCTCGGATTTATCGACTTTATTTTTCCCTTTTGCCACTTGTTTTGCGCGTTTTTTGTCTTGTTCATTCAATTGTTCTACTTCAACTTCTACGTCTTTCATAAAAGCATCAAGGGGGTCTTCCTCCTCTCCATTATCAGTCTGCATCTGATCTCCTGAATCTTTGATAGATAACCCTGATGTTGTAGACTTTTCTTCTTCTTCAGCAACTAAACTTTTTAATTTACCCTTATTATTCGTCGCAGATTTTTTGTTGCCAAGTCCAAGTAATGGGTTTCGCCTAACTTGAAGCACCTGAGATTCTACTTTATCATTAGATTTTGGTATAGGAAGTAAATTTACAGTTTCTGAAATAATAATTGAAAGTTAATTTCAATAATTAAAAAAAAAATTAAAAGAAAAAAGTTGAAACATAAATACCCGGGGCGCCATCAACTTCCATAGCCTCATCTTCATCATCGTCATCTAAAGTCCAACCTTTATTATTTTGTTGTGCAGTTTGGTCATCAGCAGTAGAAATAGATTGGCTTGCAGTAGAAACTGCTTGTGATTTGGCCTCCTCTTCAGCTTTTTTAGCCGCCTCCCTTTCTCTTCTCCATTGTTCCACACGTTCTCTCCTTTGACGAATTTTTTCTTCCTGACTATCGAGTAAAGCCGCAACTGTTGCAGAGGTCGTCGAATCAACTAACTACATTATAATATCAAATTTCAATCAAATGCCATGTGATATAAATAACAAAGAAAAAATGCATATATGTACCTTTGAATCAACCTGCATTTGCACATCCAAGTCTCGGTTAGCACTTTCTTGTTTGTTAATGTCTTTATATTTATCCTTCATTTCTCCAGAAACATTGTTCAGCACGGTACCTGATGACCTCGATATAATTTTTTGATCTTGTGTAGAATTTCCAGATTCTACCGTAATATTGTTTTTATATTTTCTATCTTCTGTTTCTTTTGTGGAATGAGATTTAGTATAAGAATCTTCTCTATCAATTTCACTCCTCGAATGGCGGGATCGCTTATGATCTCGATCATCTCTGTGACGATCCTTTTCACGTTCTCGATCTCGATCTCGATCCCGTTCGCGATCTCGTCCACTACGTCTTTCTCTACTACGACTTCTATCCCTTTTCTCATTTGTTGTTTCCTTAGCACGTTCACGACTACGATTTCTATCATGCCTGTGAGAATGTTTTCGCCTCTTATGTGGAGATCGTGAGCGACTTCTAGATCTAGAATGTCTTGCCATTTTGTAAGACTAGAATTCCGACCGAGAATCAGTGAAAGCTTATTTATATTACTTATTTAATTCCACGTGACCGGTGACATATCGTATTTAATGGATTCACATGGAGATAATCTCTATTTTTCTCATAACAATTTAAGGTAAGAACATCAATATTTTCATGTTTTGAATTTAATTTAAAATCATGTTTATTTTATCACTGAAATTTGTAGGATGCCACCGAAACGTAAAGCTAAGTCGAATGGGCCTAAATTGCCTAGTTCTCTTCAAGAACAACTTGAAGTTGGTATATATTTGCTTATAATTATTCGTTTGAGTAATTTGATATATACACTATTTAAATTGAAATATAATTATTTGTTTAGGTGATAGTAAGTTTGGGAAGAGATTCAAAAATCAAGCACAATCGAGAAAAGAACAAAGAAAACAAGATCGAATAGATAGGAAAAAGAAAAAGGTATTATTATATTTTATAGAACACACTTAAGATTATTAAAATATGAGATATTTATTGAAAAACTTTAAGGCTCAACGAAATCAAGTAGAAACAAACATTCAGCCGCCTGAGAAACGTCAGAAAATAAACCATCAATCACAATCATCTATAAATACAGCTACCTCATCAAAGATCATCAAATTTTCTGCCAAAAAACCAAAAAGCACAAAAATGAGTTCTTATTCACAGAAGTTAGAAAGACTTTCTATAACAAATCCAAATTTTTACTCGTTGCTTAAGGACTCTAATCTCATTTCCACCTCAAGTGAAGACACTTTAGCAGAATCTAAAAATACTGATGAAAAGGAAATTAGACGATTAGAAAAAAAACTGGGAATAAAATCAGGAGGAAAATTAACAAAAGCATTTGAAGATGATGGGTTGGACGGTATGCATGCTTATAAACAAATTTATGTACAGTACAATACCTAATAATAATTTTTTTTTAAGAGTTACTGCAAGGGGTCGATGTTGGTTCAAAAAATTTGAAATTTTCGAATTCTTTATCTGAGGAGGAAGAGGTAAATAAGTGCATTCAATGTTTCCTCTGTTAATATACTGCATAATAATAGTCCAAATTTGATAGGGGTGTGATATAGGAATATCAGAGCAAGATTATTCTGATGATTTGGAGTATAAAAGTGATGAAGAAGAAAATACTAATATCATGGAAGAGGACGATACAGAAAATGATTCCAATATGTACGATAAAGAATATAACAAAGAGGATGGAAATTATGAGGCAAAAGGTTGTATTATTGTTAGCGTAATTTTTTTTCCTAATACTTTATTAATACTTTGTTTCTCTTAGGTAAATATGTTCCTCCTCATCTACGAGACAAAGCTTTATCCGAGTGTGACAAAGCAAAAAAAGATCAACAAATACGGTTACAACGGCAATTACAAGGCTTATTAAACAGGTCCATTATCCTTTTTTATCGGTATTTTTATACAGCGTTTTGTTGCTAATTGACTGTTTATAATTTATGAATAGACTGAGCGAGTCTAATATTGAGAGTATCATCATGAACATTGATGAATTGTATCAAAAATTTACCCGACATGGTAATAATCTTTATATTTTTATTATATACATTGCCATGAGATAATATAATAGACTTATTAATTTCAAACTACATTAGATGTTACTTCTACCATTACATCCCTTGTCTTGAATTCAATTACCTCAAGATCCACGTTATTAGATCAATTTGTGATTTTATATGCTACATTAATAGCGGCTTTTTACAAAATAATTGGTATCGATTTTTGTAAGTTTGAAAAAATCTCTTTAGATAGACTTTTTTTTTAAAAAAAAAACAACAGTCTACTAATTTACTTTCTATAATAATCAATAGGCGCACATTTTGTTCAAGAGATGGTTGAAGAATTTGAGAGATACCATAGACAATATAATACCAATTCTATCGATGGTGTTAAAAGCCTTGAAGAAGAAGGTGGAAAAGAGTGTACAAATTTAGTAGTTTTGGTTTCAGAACTTTATAATTTTCAAGTCATATCATGTGTATTGGTTTATGATTTAATTAAATTATTTATTTCTGATTTGAATGAACTTAATGTTGAGTTGTTATTAAAAGTGATTAGAAGTAAGTAACATTTTTAATAAGTTTTGTTCTACATATATTTACTAATTTTATTTCGCTGCGCGTGTGATATTAGGTTCTGGATATCAACTTAGAAAAGATGATCCGACTGCATTGAAAGAAATTATTCAACAAGTTCAAACTGAAATCACAAAAAAAGATTCAGGGTCATTAGGGTAATTACTAACCTTTTTTGTTGACGTTCTTGTTATCATTTAATGATGATCGTATTTTCTCTTAATAAAAAGATCACGTACGAAGTTTATGATTGAAACTATAACAAATCTTAAAAATAATCGTCTAAAACAGCAGAATGTAATGGTGAATATTGAAAGCATTCTTAAAATGAAAAAATTTCTTAATAATCTAGGAAAAAAGATCCAAGGTATAGTTGTACTTTTTGAAAATAAACATTATTTTCTTTATTTTTTTAAAAATATATTTTATCTTATAGTTCAAGCGACGGAAGCATTGAGAGTCAGTCTTGATGACATTAGGTTTGTTGAAACAAAAGGTATGAATTATCTAGCAGAAAATCTCGTGAAACGAACGTACATTAAGTTCATTTGAAAACGCAACGTTGGTTACACATTTATTCATAATTTGAAGGAAAATGGTGGCTTGTTGGATCATCGTGGACCGCTAATTTGGCTGATGATTCATCAACTTCAATCATTACGCAACGCGCTGAGAAAATTGATAATTCTGCATCTAGCGCTTTATTAAAGTTAGCTAAAGAACAAAAAATGAATACGGATGTTAGAAGAAGTATTTTTGTGGTCATAATGAGTAGCGAGGTAAATATTGAGTTTAATGATGTATTTTTCTAAGTTTTAACAAATTTTTTTATCTGACTGTTGGTTGTAGGATTATGTTGATGCGTTTGAAAGACTTTTGAAATTGAATCTAAAAGAAGTCCAAGAACGTGAAATTCCCAGAGTTTTATTGCATTGCTGTGGAAATGTAATTATAATTTAAGATATTCCATTTAGCATACATATTAAAATATCAATTGAACGCGAAAATTTTATTTTTAACACAGGAAAAAACACATAATCCATATTATGCATTGATATCACAAAAGCTTTGTGAACATGATCATAGCTTTAAAATTACTTTTCAATATTGTTTATGGGATTTTTTAAGAGAATGTGGAGAAAATGATATCGGTGGCATGGAACTTGTTAAAACCATTCAGACATCATCAACTGCAGAAAAAATTCCTTTAAGAAAAATTGTGAACTTGAGTAAACTTTATGCATTTTTAATAACTGGCGGCCAATTATCTGTGATAATACTTAAAGTAAGTTTATTTTAGTTATATATTTTATTTTTCTTTACCGATACTAACTACGCCTTTTCGGGGAATCGTTCTTTCGAATTGACAATTATTAATGAAGACTGTATCGTTTCCTAAACTTCAACAACAATCACGATTATTTTTTCAATTATTATTTTCTAATATAATTTTATTATCTAACGAAACACAATTTTCAAGAAAATCAAATAATCAAAAACAAATGCTCTATAATATATTTAGTAAATCATTAACGAATCCTACATTAGCTAAAGGAATTTTATTCTTTTTATATAATTTTGTTAGAAAAAGTGAAATATTAGAACAAAAAGAAAAAGGATTAGTTAAAGTGGGTTGTAATATTATTAAAGAAATTATTCAAAATGGATTTAGCACTAGTAGTAACGATTTGCTTTAATATATGCTCAATTCCCAACGCAATATTTTCAGTAAGAAAGAATTTAACAATATATTTTATTAAATAAACAATTCAGTTTTAGAAATTAGAATAGGCTATGACAATACTCAAAATTCTTAACAGTTAATCAAAAAGTCGTTTCAATATCGATATAGAGATGGCCCGCAGTGCCCAAATTTTACACATTTACTCGATAAATTTCACTCCAATTCTGCACTAATATTATGTGAAATAGTCATCAAGTGCATTAACTTTATTTAGTAATATTATCTTTTAAAAAGATATTAATAGAAAAATAAATTTCCGCTATAAAAGAAATAATGGGGAATTGAATTTTCGTTATTTTCGTTATAAAAAAAAAAGATTATCGGATCAGGATGATCATCAAACATAAAAAATTTTTTTCATTCCGCAGATCTAATATGTTGATTGTCTAACTAGACATGCCTGCTTCAAAGTCTATGAAAATAAAGTCCGTTCGCTATAATGCAATCTTATCTCGTCCAAATCTGGCTGAAAAGAATAGTTTATTTGAGAAACCACAAGCGAAAAGTGAAGATGAATCAAGTATACGGAAACAAGAACTTATAATGATGACAAGAGTCATTGAAGATGCAATTAAACAAAAGAAAGAGGTATGTTAGTTGTTGTGACATATAAAATTATAATATATACGTACGTTAATATTATGATTATTATACATGTATAGGGTAATAAGAGTCCCTTCTATGAGCTGATTCGTCAAATAAACGATATTTCGAATGTCAATCCAAATCCAAAAAAATTAAGATTATGGTGTTTGGCTTTTTCTCGAATTATGCATAAATTCGATGCTACTTGCTCAGATCTTGTCTATACTTTATTGAATTTTAATTGGACAAATCATGATAATAACTTGGCCATTGCGTACGTGATGATGTTAGCCAACTTGGTGGCAGTTTATCCATCTTGTACAGAAGCAATGTTAGAAATGTTGGTCCAAAATTTTCTTTATAGTAAGCTTGCTTAATTTTTATATAATCTGTTATACAAGGTTATACAAATATTATGTTAATTTTTTATTATATCTTGCAGAAGAAGACGAAGTGTCAAAAATGGAAAAAATACACGGCAAAGTACATTATGCGATCAAAACTCTTCTTCCAAGTATTCCACAAGAAGAAAAGGATCTTTTTCATGTACTATATAGGGAATTTCCACATAAACGAGAATCTCTTGGAGCATATATAGTGTATGTAAAAAATTTATTACAATTAATAGAATACACTCCGTCTTTACAACATAAAATCTTGACTTTAATATTTGAGCGAATGATTGAATTAGACGTAAGTGCGTTTCATTTATATTCAATTAAAAAAAAAGAAAATTGTATATAATATTTCATTTTTTTTTGTTTGGATAATAGACTGAAGTTCAGGGACAAATTGATGAGATCGAAGATATGGAGGAGGGTTTAAATAAACTTAACATAGACCTTCACACTTCTCAAGACGGATCGACTGATTTTTACAAGTCAAAACCTGAAGAGCCAGATTTTGAAATTTTTAATGACACAAATGCGGACAATTCTGATTCGGACATTGAAGATTCTGCACCTATTGTCATTGCTGTTGATATTGCAAATGGAATCCAAAAATTAGATTGTATTATCAAACTAGTGTTAGATTATCTTGATTATTCTCACAAAAATGGAACTCGAGAACAACGAACGAAATTAACTGAAACTATTTTTACAATATTCAAGGAAAGTATATTATATACTATCAAGTCACGATATATTCAATTCATACCATTTTGGTATTTTTCATTGGACAAATTGTATGCAAGTCGATTCATTAAGTTACTCCTTGATAAATTAATTGATGATGAAGGAAAGGAAATTACTAGAGAAGCTGCCGCACAGTACATTGCATCATATATTGCTCGTGCTAAATATTTAGACGATGATGATGTAATGCAGTGCATGCGAGCTTTGATAGGGTGGGCAAAAAATTATGTTTCCGCTCATAAAAATCTCATACATGTTCGAGATGAATCGAAACACGAAAAGTTTTATCGTATTGTTCAAACGGTAATGTACGTATTTTGTTTTCGATGGAGAGATTTTCGTAATACCACTTCAGGAAATAATATTTGGAACGAGGAGATTAAAGAATTAAAAGATATCGTTGAATCAGTATTCTGCCCCTTAAAAGTAAGTTAAACATAATAACATAATTATTAATTTAATATACTTATTCAAGTATTTAATTGTACTGATTGATAGTTTAATTTATTTTATACTTTATAGTTTTGCGCTGAGAATACAGTTAAAATGTTCACATTTATTGCAAAATCCATAGGGTTTATGACATGTAAGGAATATAAATGTACTAAAATTAAGAACGATTCTGTTTTGTCGATGGGGGAGTACTTTCCATTCGATCCTTTCCGACTGAAGACTTCTCAAACTTATTTGGAAGGGCTATATCAGGTTTGGGAAGAAATCCCGGAAAAATCAGATGAGGAGGAATAATTGAAAGACACAAAAAAAAAAAAAAAAAATTAAATGTTATTCTGCTAGCTAAAATATTTTCATTTAAATAATAAAGATCTAAACTATTAATTTTCAAGCCATTCAAAACAATAATTCTTTATTTCTTCAAGAACAACCATTCAGTTTAAATCACTCATTCTAAAAAATGAAATTTGATGAAAAGAAGTTATTAAATAAATAAAAATGTTTCTTAAAAAAGTTTTTCTTTAACTACATTACAGTCAAAGATCGTGACGAAGCTCGATATAGTAAATTTGGCTTATAGTGATCTTTTTTTTTATTTCACCAGTTCACTTTATAATAAATCTTGTTCGTACTAATAAAATCTCGATATTGGATATAATGAACTGAATAATTTTACTATAGAAATAGACTGACACAAGAACAACCTTGACAGGTCAAAATCTCGACAAATCATTATACCATTATTCTGACAATTTAGAACAATATTATAAAATTTACCACAATTAAACTATATTGGATTGTATTTTTGTTGTCGATCTTATGTTAGTCGTGCAAGTGACTGTCGACTAACAAATATCACGTGATAAAATTCATTAATGATTTATTATATTCGTCCTAATATTTAAATTCGAATTACAAAGTCTTACTTTAAAATTCGTTATATTAAAAATCATTTTTTATAAAAAATTTGTACACTTTTCTTAAGTTATTATAATAATGACGAGCCGAGAAGTGAGACAGATTTAGAAACGTTATCTTAATTCTAATCCTAATTGATCTGATAAGAGTAGCACTTCCTTATGAATTCAATTCGTGTCTTATTTATATAAGATACGAAAAAATTACGTATCATTATTTTTCTTTATTACAATAGGTTTTAAAAATGATAAACAAATTTTGTACAGTATTTCCAATAACTTCGGTCATGAGTTGGTGACCAGTAGGAATTAATGATACTAATAACGATTCGATAAAATCCCGCATATTCCTAATCGACTGAACAAATAAATCATCATGTTTGATTAGGATAGAATTACAAAATATTTTAATCACATTAAGGTTTATTATAAAAAATAATTTCTTGATCAAAATCATAATAACAATGGAGCTCTCTCAGACTCTCACATGAAATATTGAAATATGTATATGTAAAATGAATTTCGTAACCTTTCATAATTATGTACACGAAAATAAAATTAAAAATTTTATTCATTTATTAAAAAAAAATATTAACTAATTAACTTTTTTTTTAACTGATATATGATTTCTATTTAGCCTGATAAAATTCGCATAAATAGTATTAGAGACTTAGAAATCTATGTAAATAATTATAAATGTATATTATATTATATTATATTAAGTAAAACTGAGTATTAGACTTAGCCCATTATACATTTATACGGTACTAATTGACTTGCACATATATTTTACAATAAAGATTAAGATAATACGTCAATTCCAATATTAAACATCATATATCATAAAATCCTTCCTCCAGAATTATAACAATTTTGACCTACATTATATTAAGCTCAGCTGGTAATCATTATTTATAATTTTATATTATATATAAATGTGAAAAATAAATATTATACAGTAATATACTCAAAAAAAATTTGAATAAAAAAGTGGGAAAAGAGCAAAAAATGCTGAATAGCAAAATGAAAGAGCAAGTAAAAAACTGGAGAAAGAATTATATAGTAAAGAGTGTGTCGTTGAAAGTATCAACTTTGTTGTTAATGAAGCAAGTTCGGCTCATAATATTTTTTTTCCTGTGACTTAGCAACAATACTTGCAAGAGATAACGAAGTAGGTTGGTAGCTTTAAAAAATGCCTGTAAAATCTACTTTGATTGGCTTGAGGACGATGTTAAAGAAATATCGAAAAATGCTCCTATGATATCAGACGATGCCGAGGTGGCTTTTTACCAAGAAGTGGGGATCTTGAAAGCACTGATGAAACTACTTTAACCACACTTAATCTTTATTTCAGATAATGACATGAATGTTGAAGTACCCCGATGTTGGGTCTATTTTAAATATCATAGATTGTGCACGGAATATAAGTACAAACAGCTATAACGAAAAATAAATGACATTTTGTAAAAATATTTTTTATTACATTATAACGTTGATGTAACACAAAAATAAAATACAATAGTTTTGGTCTATGCCTGCGATAGATGGTGAACTTTATGATAACTATTACATCCTAAAGGCAAGTTCTAACCCAAGATTACTTGATGACTTGACCTTTTTAAATCCCTATCTCTTCTTTGTGAATCTTCATTGGTTTTTGTGCCTCTTCTAATAGCCATACAATACAGGCAAGGACCTTTTCTGCTTTGATTTGTACATTCTTGCTCATTATCTATTTGATTGGCTTTGTGCTTATGTCCTGTCAAGGATGACTCCATTTGCATGGATACCTGAGCAAATCCTTTCATAAAATCCTCCCACTTAAACTATAATCGAGTTTTATTTTGGACAAATTTAATTTTAGTGCTTCTCGAACCTGATTGGGTAATTCTTACGATATCCAGATTTTCGGTCGTACAGTCATGCTTTTGACATCGCGTTACAGAGATTATCAGAAAAAAAAGTTTTACTTCTGTTACAACTCAAAATGGCAAATTGGGAAGTTTTCAAATCCTCAAAAGATTTACAAGAATTCTTGAACTCTGATAATACTGAAATATTGTATCAAGGTAACTATTTGGATATAATTATTAATTTTTTTTTTTACTTTGCGATATATTGATCAAATTTATTTTTTCCGTTATTGTTAAATCTTAAAGGAATTAATAGATTCAAACAACACTTTAGTTACTCAAAAGACAAAAGTACAAAAGATATTGATCTAAGCAATGATGAAAAATTTTCAATAGTTTATGAATATTTACAAACTTCTACAGACTGTAAAGAATTATTTAGAATATGGGATATGCAATTACGTGTAAGTTTTTTAGCAAATAATTATTATATTATTCCATATTTAAATAAAACTGATAACATATTTTTTTTTTAAAGAATAATCTAACAAGACTGGAACTTTCGATGCCCGATTTATTTTCAAAAATTATAAAATTTACAACAACCGTTCCTTCATTAAAACCTACGGGAACAATAATAATTCGTAATATTATACGAAATTACATGAAAATAATTAGGAATAGTTTATCTTCTGAAAAATTACCTCTATGTCAAAATACTTTAAAACTATTAATTGTAATGAATTCCCATGACCTTGTAACCACAAAGGAATTACTAGAATCATTTACTTATAATCTTAATCTTAAGGTATATAACTTTTATTGATTGAAAAAATTGAGATTTGTTTACTGATGCATATATTATTAGGAACTAGAAAGATTATTAAATATCAGAAGAAATACACCAAAAGACAAATTAAAGTCGTTTCATGTACAAAATGGTTGGTTAATTTAATAGTTTAATTTAACACTAAATTTGTATTCAAATCATCCTTTCCTTTTATTTAGACATTCGGACATTGTATGTTCGATTTATTTTATCATTCTTTGTACATGGAGATGCAAAAATCAAATCAAATATATTGGAAATCAAAGATTTTGTAAGTTCAATATTTAAAGGATTATCAAATGATTCATATGAAGTAAGTAAATGATATATCGTCCTTAAGTTTCTCAAATTCTTAATTGGTTAATTCTTATTTCAACTATTTTAATTTTTTTGATTTATAGTTTGTTGATGAAGTGTTTAGAAAAGTTTATAACTACATAATCCTTGATAATGATATCAACCGAAAAATAAAATTATCGTTTTTCAACAATACGTGGCTTTTCAATAAAGTAATAAAATATTAAATTTGATTTTTTTTCTTCATAGATTTTTTGGATTTTCTAAATTGCAGAATACTGACTTATGATCCATAGCTTTTACTTCTTTATAATAGGCGTGAGCCAGAACAGCCTGAATCTGATAATATTGTAGCAAATATTATTCATCAATTTTTGTTATCAATTTGTTGCACGCCTGGCGTAGGAATCTGCTTTCGTGATGCAGGATTGTATCCTTTTAATTTTATGAATGCATCCTTTAACGCATCAATAGATGAGACAAATGAGAGGCATATGAAAGTACATAATATAATATTGCTCCAATTTATTAAATTACTGAAGCCAACGCAAGATTTACGTCAACAAGAACTTTTGTTGAAAATTTTGGAAACATGTCCAGAATTAGTTAAACCGTTAGTATAACTTGTTTTGATAAATTTTATTGCATAATTTTATTAATTAAAAAATTTTATTGTAGATATTGGGATGCATCAAAACTTTCTTTCAAACCTAATCTTTCATACAAGTGGTTGACAAATATGACTTTGATTCAAAAGATAATAATGTTACCTTTTCCTTCACTTTACATTCCGAATACACAAACTTATCCAGAAAATCCCCCAGAGTTAAACACTATTTTGGACAATATACTTCCAAAAATATTTGATCAAATTACTTTGGTCGAATGTCTTAATCATTCCAGTTCACTAATCAAATACAAAACTATGATTGTTTTATATTTGGCGATTCAAAAGTTGGACACTGTTGTACATTTAATTAATAAAGCGGGATCATTAAAATGGAATCAGATGATTGATTCTTTATATGAAGAAATGATGCATAGAATTCCTGATATTCAGATTCTTTTGAGTTTGTATAAAGATTTGTTATTAAATATGAAGAGAAATGAGGATAGTGATGAGCAAATAAGAAATAATATGATGCATGAATGTATTTTAAAATTAATCAAGTTTTATCATCTTAATTTTCCAAAAATGGTAACGGAAGTAAAATTGAATGTTGATAATTTGATCCCAATGGATTTTCAAGAGTATCAATTAGTCCTTCAATTAAATATATTGGAATTATTATTTTTAGTTGCTAAATCTAATTGGACAATAAATCCAGGTAAGTTTTATATATATTCGCTTTTATTTATTTATTTTTTAGCTAATTACTTATGGAACCACGTATTTATTAATTTCATTTTAGAATTTAATCACCTTCGAACACTTTTAAAGATATATTTGACCACATCTTATACACAGATCCGTTCAATTACACAACATATACTTGAGCAGTTACTTTCCAATTCTATAATTTTCCAACATGACCCAGACGAAGTTTCAATTTGGTTGGATTCTTTACCTCGAATCTTTCCTGAGAATATAGATGTTGAAAAATTCAATGGCCAAGCAGTTGTTTTACAATTTCTTGACAGTTGTTTTACATCATTTCTAAAGGATCCTAATTCATATATTGATAATTTAAATCAAGTTGTAAATAATGTAAATGAAAGGAGAAAGGATACAGTTGGCGATGGAGAAACCAAAAAGGATGTTGAACTATATTTAAAATTTCAAGACATTTCTAAAAACTCAAATATTTCTTATCCATTTAGTCCACTAATAGTGACACTTGTAAGGAATTATAAAAATATTACGAATAACAAAATTGAAATCATGTCATTCTTACATATGTTATTTAAGAAATTATTTTCCAAGCAGATATTAGTATATTATCTTGATGAATATATTAAACAATTAGAAAATAATATTGGACTTAAAAGTATCGGATTTCTTGAATGTAGAGGAAAATGGAATATTGATGAGTATATTTCAAGTTTGAAGCATATTTCAAGTTTATATAAATATCAAAATGAAGAGCCTTTTAGTGTTAATAAAATAGTAGACATTCCTGTCATAATTTCTGAAATCCCACAAGAGGAGCTTAATGTATTAAATCAAAATCTGATGAAAGCTGAAAAATTGTGTTTGGAAATCTTAAGAGGTAAAATGGTAGAATGATTATTTTTATTTAAGATATATTCATATTTCGAATTAAGATTATTTTTATTTATTAGATAAAAGCCCTGCTGACATTACTAAAGCAAGGTCTAAATTTCTTGATATGCTTTACATACTACCTACATTGATTTTTGAAAGAAACTTAGTGGAAATTGTAAATTATGTCAAAAATATTTTAGTATGGATAAAGTTTGAACCCATTTTGGAATATATTTGTGAGAGATATCCAGGTTCAAGTAGTTTATTCGATATTCAAACCATTAAAGAAGTAATTGATTATTATATATTTTCTTTTAATAAAGAGAATAATAATGTTTTGCCTAATAATGTTGAAACAAGGTAGATATTAAAGATTTTTTTTTAAAAAAAAAATTGGTTTATATTAACGTTAATTTTATATTTAGTAGAATAGATTCGTTAAATTCATTTATTGAATTATTAAATTTGATTCCTTTTTCTATTTTATTTGACAACTCATTTCCTTCCTATTTGGCTGATAAGAACATTAGTTTGATTTTAATTAAATCATTACAATCCACATCTTTACAACATATATTTCGCATAACAAAACAAATTTTAGTTACTACAAAAGTATTGTTATCAGTTTCTTACTATAATTCATCAATACAAAAATTGCAAACTTGTTTTAATTTGTTAAAGATAATTATTGAAAAAGTTACTGAAGAAGTAGAGGATGAAGATATATCGAAGATTTTTAATGATATTATAATTTTAATATTTGAACAAGATTTGTTACCATTTTTCTTAGCAAGTATGTCTGAAAGTCAACAATCTACTTTGAATTTTAAGAATTATTCTATTTTGGACGAATGTAAGTATTGATTTTTTGTTATATTATTTAATGGTTATAGTAATGGTTATAGTATATTAATAGTCTTTATTTATTATATTAGTTATTGCAGAGCTTGTTGTTTATTTTACAAATAGAGAAATTAAAAGTATAGTATGGAAAACACACAGTGCAAAGGCTTTAAATAGTCTTCAACCATTTAAAAATAAGTTGTTCAATCAACTTTTATATATAATAAATTCAGTTGATTTATATAAAAACAAAAATACGTTAATATATGAAAAGGTAAGTAATTTATAATTAAATTTAATTTGTTTTAAAAAAATTGTTTTATATTTATAATATTTATAACAATTATTTTTACAGACATTTACATTATGTTACAAATTCAACAACTTTTGGAATGAAGAGGAAACATTTCAACTTTTTTTAAGTACTTTAGAGTCTAGATTTTATAATAATAAGTACATTAATAATAATAAGCATTACAAGAAATTTCTTTCTTTTTTGTTAAACAAATTATCTAATACTTTACTAATTATACAAATTAATGAAGAAATTCTTTTGGAATTTTTTTCATGTCATATAGTTGAAATGGATTCTATAATCTTACAAATCATTGAAAATTATTTGCCATCTGGATTAATTGAGAAAAAAAATAATTATATATTATATAATTCAGAACAACAATTATTTCATCCTATTATAAGTAAATGTATGAAGGTTACTCAATATTTTCTGGATAATTTAAATAGTAATAGAGCTAAAATTATTGGACACCTTATGCTATGCACTTCAGACATTAGAGAATTATTTGTTTATTGGACTTTAAATAATCAGAATTTTTTAGAACAAATTGCTATTTCTGATATAGTAATCTTAGTTAATTCATTATTGGAAATTATCTCAACAATTCACACAAATTCATTGGATTTTAAATATATTGGAGTAACTTGGACAAAATTAGCTAAAGAGAATGAAAAGAAATCTATTCATAAAATATCCGAATTATTTGCATTAAAATTTCTTCAAAATATTTCAAAGTCAATAATAATGCAAGAGAATCCATCAATTTATGCTTTGATAACTTGTGCATTATTAAATCTAAGTCCTTCCAAACAAGTTCTTGATAATTTGGAAAATAATATTAAAAATAATTTATCTTCAGATTTATTTAATTTGGATTTTCTTTGTATAGTTGAATGTTATTTTATAAATAATATTAATTATTACAATGAAAATGAATTAAAAAAATTCATTTCAAATTATTTGCATTATGCAACATTATTTATAGAAAAAGATGAGTATAAGAAATATAATATTAAATTTATTCAAACTATTTTTGGAAAAATTGGTAAGATGATGATAATTTTTTTTTTGTATATACCTATATATATTAACTTACTATTTATTATATTAGATATATTAATAAAGCTTTGCGTACCTAAATCTTCAAGTCTTGATGCAAATATAATTGGTGAATTTATTTTTGTACTTTTGGAAAAGAAATTTGAAGATCCAACAATATTAAATTGTATTATTTCATTAATTAAATTTGCATATAATAAAAAGGTATTTTTATTAATTGTAATTTTTTAATTAAATAAATTTAATAACATATTTTTTTTTATTTATATAGAACGTATTTGGCCCTTCATTGGATAAAGTTATAGAAGCTATAATAAATAATCCTCAATTTAATATTTTGATCAATTCATCAGAATCATCAACTGAATCAACAGAATCTTCAATATATACTATAAGACCTATAATATGTTATTTACTCAATTTAATATATCACATAAACTCCAAAGAATGTTGTAAATTATCATATTTGGTTTCACTTTTACCTATTTATAATGCAACAACATCAGTATCAGATCAATTATTATTAGATATTTTTATATTATATGAAAAAACAACAAAAGTATCAATTATATCTTCTGCAATTAAATGGAAAACAAATTTATCAACATTGAATAACAAATATCAATTTGATAAAAAAAATTTAATTATAGGACAAAGAATTTTAGTGGAAACATTAGAATTAATAGATCCAATGTTTATGATGAGAAGTTTTACACATTTTCCAATTGATAAAGAATTGGAATTGGAAATTGATTACAATTATATAGAAAAATTATTATTTGATAATAATTTTTCAATAATAATTATGGAGAAAAAAATATCTGTTTATGATTTATCTTATTTTTTACCATTATTTGCCAGTTTATTATCATATGGTAATTTATTGGATTGTAGAAAGTTTATTGAGATTAATGCTTTAGGATTTATCGTTGTTGCTACATCATCTTTAGTTATTAATGTGCGAAGAATTGCATATTATTTACTAGATGAATTTTATGTTTTATTAGAGGTATGCAAATATTAAATGTTTTTTTTTTTCGTATAATATAATATATAATTACAATTCCTTTTATTATAGACTACAAATTTTCGAGAAAAAAAGCAAATTTTATTACTTTTGAATTTATTGAAAAATTCAATAACAAATCGTGATAATGATGATATACAAAGAATTCCAACAATAATAACAATATTTATAGCACATTCTTTATATATATTCATGAATCCTGGACATTTTATGTATCCTCTTATTAACAGATTTTTATTACAAAGACCATTTTTGGATTTAAAAGATATACCAATGTTTTATAGTTTATTTCAATCTTCTACTAATAATTATCAAAAAGAAAAAGTTTGGATTTTAAGACTTTTATCTGCTGGATTAAAAACATACGATGTAAGCATATCAAAAAATTTAAAAATAATCATTTTTAAAAATATTAATAAAAAGAATATATATATATATATTTTCGTAGGATTATAAGATATTTAATAGAAGACATATTTGGAATATAATATCTTGTTATTATACTTCCCCATTAGCAGATAATATAACCCGCAAGCTTATTATCGAGGTATTATAAAATATTTTAGTAAAGCGTAATTTTTAAATATAATTTTCTTATTAAATTTTTTTTTTTTTTTATATTAGATTTTATTTCAAGCAGCTTCGATTCCAAAAGTTATTACAAATATGATGAAAAATCAAGGATTATTAACATGGATATATCATATATGTATTTCATCATTATCCGAACAATCATTATTTGGATCAAGAATTTTATTGAGAGTTTTACTTGGATGTAAAAATTCTGCTTTACAATGGTCAAATTGTACTCTAATTAAACAATCTATTTGTATTTTAACTGGATTATTAAGATCGTTAGGTAAATTTTTCTATATTGCATTTATTAGATTTTATATTTATAAATGTATGATCTACTAACTAATTAATTATTCGAAATAGAAGGAATTAGAAATGTTGAAGAAAAAACGTTATTATGGACGCTTAATTACTTAAACTCAATTCTTCGAATATTTCATTATTTAACATTAATATCTCCTATGCCAGGCAATATTTTATCACAATATAACGCGTCGATTCTGATTTCTTTAGTAGAAAAATGTGAAATACACTTGAATCCCATGGACGTTATAAATAGTGCATCTTTATCAGATCCAACAGAAATACAACATAATTTTAATCCTTCATTAACGGATAATTTGGATGAACTTTATACAATGGATCATGATATAGTCAAAATGTATAAAGAAATAATCAGGATGATGTTTGAGATGATAGTTATAAGCTGTAATACGTTTGAAGACGATCTTGTAAAGAAAATTATAGGAAGGTCTTTAAGATGTAGCGTTAGTATTGAAGCAAGAAAATGGATTATTGAGTGCTTGGCTGATAAAAGGAATTATGGTACAGAAGAAAAAGAAATGGATATTGAAGTTTAATAAATTTAATATATAAATATATATTATAATTAGTATGATCAGCCCGTAGAATACCTATTTCTGGTTAAAATTATATTATTTACTGACTATGTATGCGGATCTATAAATAAATATTTGATATCATTGATAACTAATTTCTTTTTCAAATAGTTGTCTAATTTTAATTTATTCATTTGGCTAGTTAAATACATATATTTCCCTATATACCGAACTTATATGACAATTTAAAATCATACTCCTTTATTAGTCAAGTTAAAATATTGAATTCTCGGATAACAGATAAGATACTGATGTTAAAATAAAAATACAAAAAATTCTAAACCGAATTTTCAATTTATTATACTTGTAAATAGTAAAAATTATTAAATATTACATATTAGAAATAATGGTTTCATACACATGTGGGAGATTTATTCTCCCGATACCAAGTTATAAGAATTTTCCTCTAAAAACATCTAAATAAAAAATGCGTCAACATAGCGCTCTTCAGGATTTGGCGAGAGCATTAATTCAATAGCTCTTTCTAATTTTTCACTATACATCAATAATTGTTCCTTATAATCAGTCAAGTCACCCCTACGAAGTCGTTGGTAAATTTCACCGTTGTCTTCCATTCGTCTGAGTGTAGCTAATTCGAGAATAGTAATCCCAAGACTATAATTAATAAAAAAAACATTATAAATAAAAAATAATAGATATAGTTACGATAGTACATTTATTCATACCTGAACCAATCAGCACCTGGTGAATATGTTCCGTTAAGCGCATCATTAGATAAATAACGTCGATCGCCGTCCTTGTCAAAACCTTTTCTCTATATTTGTATTTGTAATTTAATAATATATATATAAAATTTTTTTTTAAAAAAAAAGATACCGACCGGTGGAATTGATGTGGCACAGCCAAAATCGACAAGTTTATATATATTGTGACAATTCATTTTCTTTATGAGAATATTCTCCGGCTTAACGTCCAAGTGTATAATTGATTTCCCATGTAAATGAGCGAAAGCCTAAATAAAATTACTGCTGAGTAATATTCACCACCTTATTACATTTTTATTAAAACTTACCAATTTAATGCTATTAATTATCTGCCAAATTTCCTCTTCTGAAAAGAACCTATTGCTCTTTTTACGATCCTTTATCAAAGCTGCAAGACTATTATAGTAATACTCATCAGTTTGTTTAACATAAAATTCAAAATAATAAGTATATCGTTACTTGCCTGCCTTTCTCGCATAATTCGGTTTGTAAGTAGAGGTAACCTCTTTGTTCCCAAGCACCTATGAGTTCAACTATATTTTGGTGTTTACCGACTTTATAATGAATTTCCACCTCCTCGAGTCGTTCTTGTCTATTTAAAGGGCTTTTGAAAGGCACCTTCGACTTCTTCACCACACATTTATGTCCCGTTTTTTTTATGGCACATTTATAAACCTCGGAAAATTCTCCCTCACCGAGCTTTTCTTTATTTACAAATTCTTCATCAAAATATATTTCATTGGAATACTGTTCAGGAACAAAGATCTCTAAAAAAAATTCTGTATTAAATAAATGGTAGAAATTTTAAAAATTCAAAATAGTGTAATCAAATAATTGATAATTACGTCTATCCTCGAATGTTGTCCTATCGAAATACTCTTTACTCAATATATGAGCAAATGATGTTGTGAATTTGTTTATGAATCCGGTAGTAGCATCGTCATAATGTTTTTCAATCGGTTTGAACGAAATTGTTGCAGATGTGAAAAATTCGTCAATTTCATCCATTTTCATGGCTTTGACGATAGTTGATGACGACAAAAAGAATTTATCGAGCATATCTTTCCTCTTACCCTTATCTAGGTTTTGTTGACGCCATTTTTTACATCCTGATAAATCTCTTAAAGCTTCATCTGAATGCCTTTTAGATAAAAATTTTTCCGAAAGTGGAAAATGAGTGCGACACTTCTTTGGTGTTGACTTAGGACCTTCTTCTAATGCTTCTGCAAACTCAATTAGGTCAAACTTTCGCTTTGCTAACACTTCCGACTCTCTTTTTGATTGAAAAAAAAATTTGTTTCTTTGATTGTTTGGAGTTTCCATTTAAAGAGCGCGTTATAAAAATAGTCAGTAGTCACAGTAGTCACAGGTGTATTAATTTCTTTAGTAAATGGGATAAATGGGAACAGGAAACTTAAGCATATAATTATTTATTTTATACTGGTAATTAAATTAAATAGTTTATTCAACTTACGCGTCTTTAATCCCAAATCAAAAAAAAAAAAAAATATGACGCGTTTTACATATTATACATTTTTATTGGTTGGTTTACGTGTTAAAATTTTTTTTTGCGTGATCGATATATTTCACGTGATCTTTTATTTAAATAACTCGATCGGCTGCAACTTGCTAAACTTGTTTTTCTTTTCGCAAATTTACCATTATATAAAAACTATTAATTAATATTGCATAGTAGTGAAAGGTCTATTAGATAATCTGTATCATATCGGAATAGCAGGTAAGGATGGTTAGGTCGGTCCTGGTCCGGTCCTAGTCCTGGGACCTATAAGTCCTATTAGTCCTATTGAACGGACCTGCGGACCTGGTCTTAACTAAGTTATTTATAGATTTATGAATTTAGTGATAACTAAATATAAAAAAAGTGATTTGTGATATTGGGATTCACTTTTTTATATTAATTTTATATAAAAAAAAAGTGAGTTGCGGTATTGTAATTCACTTTTTTATATTGATTTATATAAAAAAAGTGAGTTGCGGTATTGCGATTCACTTTTTTATATTGATTTTATATAAAAAAAAGTGAGTTGCGGTATCGCGATTCACCTTTTTATATGATTTTAATATAAAAATGTGAATCGCAATATCGCAACTCATTTTTTAATATGATTTTAATAATATAAAAATTGTATTGCATTACTTAAAATCAAATTTACAACAAACTATACATATATAATTTAAACATAATATAATTTGATATAGATCTCTTATAACCTACATATTTAATGTTTGATTTCTACTATCTAATATATATTGATACTTTATTGGCTAGGACTTTTTAAGACCTGGTCCGCTTCTGGTCCAAAATTTGGACTTAAAGATCTGCAGACCAGGTCTTTAGGTCCAGGACCTAGGACTTTATCATCCCTGATCAACATCAACTAATAAAAGATACTATATATATATACTTAGCTCCAGTACTAGCTTTCCAGTTCCCAGTACTCTTCCCAATCTCTCTCAATACTCATGGATTTTTACAAAAACATGGAAAACTGGACTTGTGTAAATCTTGTAGAGTTTTATTATGCCAATTCAAACAAAAAGAATGTAAAAAAGTACTAGACAACATAAAGAAAAATCTCAAAAAGGTAGTAAAGTCAGAATCTGGTTTTGATGTGACATGTAAAAAGAAACCCCAAAAAATAATTGACACCTGGAAGGTATGTTTTATTATTAATAAGATAGTGATTTAAACAGTTATGAATTCTTAGAAGCTATAATTCCTGGCTAATCTATAGTGATGAACTTTTTGTTTAACACTTAAATGAGCACAAGTTGTGACTCTTAGTCTACAGTTATGATCTCTTATTCAATACTTTTGCTGCTTGTATATTTATGTTTATTATATATTGTTTTTTGCAAACACTGCATAAAATATTTAATTTTAAATATAAATTTTATTTATTATAAATCAGTATATATTTATTTTATTTAATTTTAATTACCATTTGATTTTAAATATTATTTCAATTTTTAATAAAAAAATTTAAAAATTAAAATTAAGTATATTGTTAAATTTAAAAAAAAAATTAATAAAAAATTATTTACCATTTAAATTTTAGTAAAAATTTTTCTTTAAAATATAATATAATAATTTTAATAATTTTTTAAAAAATTAAAAATATGTTTATTTTGAAAAGTTTTCCTAATAAGTTTTTCTAGTAAGTTTCCATAATGGCTATCACTTATGTGTTCCAGATTATACATCATGTCTGCTCAATCTATTCAGTTTACTCATATGTTGGGATTGTATTAATCCAAATACTATATTAGAGTAATACATTTACTTTAGTAAGTTTTTCTAGTAAGTTTTTCTGGTAAATTTCCATAATGGCTATCACTTATGTATCCCAGATTATACATCATATCTGCTTGATCCATTCAGTTTACTCATATATTAGGATTGTATTTGAAGGTATGTCAAAAGCGTGAATTACTCTTGCTCACTCATTTACTTAACTAATACTTTACTTATTTACTCACAAAATTGCTCAACTTAAAGGCTTTAATGATAGAATTACAATTTCAGCTTAAATTATAAAAATTTTAACCAATAAAATTTTATTTATATAGTATAATTTATTTTAAATTGAAATTATTTATACAAAAATTATTTAAGTTTAAATATTAATAACTTTTTATTTATTATTAAATACTATTGGCTTTTAAATTTTATAAAAAAATAGGTTTTTGGTTATTATTAATTTAAAAATAAGATTATTTTTAATACTTATTAAAAGTGAAATCCATCAGGTAATTTTCATCATATTATCTGATTTATTAAAAATTTAAACTTTTATTTTTAAAAAAAAAGTGATAAAAAAAATTAAAATTTTTATTATATAATTAAAAATATAATATAAATATAATATAAATAAATAAAAATATGTAAGATTTTCTTTTTTTTTTCTGATAAATATTTTATTAGCAAATGAATTTTATTGTAAAATTTATTAAATTTATATATAAAGTATTATTTTAATAAAATTCATCAAAAGAAAATGTAAAATTAATCTATAAATTTCAATTAATAAAAATTATAAGCAATATTTTAATAAAATTATCTAGTTTTTTTATATAAATAATAGTAAGTAAAATACTATTAATTATTATATGAAATACCTTTCAAAAATAATACTTTTTTAAATTCAAATATTATATATGATAAAAAATTTTTAATTTTGGTAAAAAAAGGCAAATACTATTTATTTTAAAAAGAATAAAATTCCAGGTATTTTATTATAGTAAGTAATAGTATAATATTATTATAATCTACTTTATGGAAATTAAATTTTTTTTTATTTTTAAATTTTTATATAGATCTTAAAAGATTTTTCTTTTTATATAAAAAATATCCAAAAATTATTTATTAGAAATACATTTTTTAACTATTTATTAAAAAAACTTTTTATTTAATATTATTTTATAATTTTATTCAGTTTTAATTTATTCAATACATTTATTGATATAAAAAAATGAAGAAAGCCAATAAAGCCAATGCATGGTTATTGCATCAAGAAATCAAATAAACCTGTCAAAAAATATTATACTGTATATGTTTTTTAATAATTTTAAAAGAGTATAAATTTATAATAAAATGTTCTATAGTAAAACTAACATTACAATATATACCAAGTGTATGTCTAATTTAATTAGTTTATTTTAGCTTTATAAAGTCCACCTTGAAATTCTAATTTATCTTCAACTACCATTTGGTTTAAAAAGCTTTTTAAATCTTCTAAATTATTATCAAAACTACTATTTGATGATGATGTTGTTGGTTCGGCTACAGAACATAATATATTATGAATTTTTTCTAATGTCATTCCACCAAGATTTTTTAACATATTCTCTATATAAGCCCAGTACATTTTAAATTCTTCAGCTTTTTGTTCCGCTAATGATTGTATAATATTATCACAATTTTCTTCGTTTGATGCAAAAGCTATTCATGAATTATTAAAGGGAAAAGTTAATATATTTTTTTCTTATCTATAATATTGAAAAAATAACCAATCTTATGACATTAACCTCTTTTACTTGGATCGACTTCTTCTGCAGTTTCTAATAACAACCATTCATCATTCGGTAATTCTTTCAAAATACCACGATCACTCCAAAAATTCATTTTGCCTTTTAATATAATCGGATCAATTTTAATTTTTTTTGCCAAGTCTACTAAATTCCACTTATCTATTAAATAAAATTAATGTTGTTAATAAATTCAAAGTAAATAAATATACACATTGTATAAAAAAAATTTACCTTGTTGCTGAAAATTATGAATAATCGTAGCATATATAGGCGCGACTTCAAATTCTAATGTACGATCTTGTAATTCTAATTCTATTTGAACCTTTCCTAATGATTTTAACCATTGTAATTTTCTTCTTGGTTTAAATATCTGAAATCCTTCATCATATTTTACCATTTCGCTAAATATAAATTGACATACAATTATTTAAATTTCATGGAATTAAAATCTTTTAAATTAGTTCAATACGTACTTGGAAATTTGTTCAGGTACATCAAAATCTTCACCCTTAAGAGTAGGCCAGAATAATCTTGATATTACAGTACCATGTAACATCATCTAATATATTTTAAAGAAATATCATTACAAAGAAATAAAAGATATTTGATTCATTCGATTCATATCTCATAAATTTTTTTACCACTTCTGATGAAGATCCTGACATATTTCTTCTTAATGGGTTATCATTACCAAGAATAAATGAATCTATTCTTTTCGAATCAGAAATATCTTTAATCATAACTTCGGTTGTTGACATTTTTGATTCACCAAACCGAAGTTTAAATAATTCAAGTTTGGTAAGCTAAAATTGAAATATTAATTACCAATTACTATCTATGGTTATAAAAAAAAACATAGAAAATTGTAAAATCAAATTACTTCTTTCTCTGTATCATAATCGGTCTTAGTTAATAAATAAGAAGCCATCTGATTTTGAATTTCTTTTATGATTAAATCCGTTGTATCAAATAAACTAACAAGTAAGTTTGTTATATCAGCAGACCGATATATTGATGATTTATAATCTATTACAAAAATATAATAATTTAAATAAAAAAAAATCATTTTTTTTTAAAAAAAAAAAAAAAAAAAAACTCTTAATTAACCTGGACCAGCATCCATTGGATCAGGCAGCCAGTTATCATCATTAAACCGAACATCTTGTTGATTATCAATGGGCTCTTCGGTACGACCCAACTCTTCAATTAATTCATTGTTATTATTTTTCTCGTCCATCCAACTACTTACTAAACATCTAGCAGCATCTTCTCTTGTTCTAAATTAAAAATAATTAAGATAGGATATATTCCTTTTACAAAAACATGATATCATATAATCAGTACCTTAAATAATTTCTAAATGGTCCAGTAATTTTTTCCAAGAGTACACCAGATGAATCTAATAATCTCAAACATTTTATTGTAGAAATGTATGTATTAATTATATCCATTGTACCAGCTCCTGGAATTAACAATCTTTTACGGAAACTAAAATAAATTAAAATGATCAGTAAAAATTACTAGATTGAATTACGAGAAAACTTATATTTATCATCTTACGCTGCATGAAGTGATTCGACAAGTCGATACCTATAATCTTTATCTAATCTTCTCATACACACCTACATAAAATACATATATATAAGAATATCATTTTGAAAAATTTTTTACGTAACATATTAAATATTCAACACACAATTAAATCATCGATAGCAATTTTTGAGTCGGGAAAATCAACAATTACGTCAAATAGTTCTGAAATCCTAATTGTAATAAAACGTGATATACAAATATTAATATAGGCGATACTTAAAAAAACAAATATTTAAGTTATGAAACTACCTCGAATCACAGAATATCATGCAAAAATGGTAATTTAATCGTTTTGACCAAGCTACTAATCTATCTTTCAATTGTTTTTTTAAGGACGGGATAAAAGAATTTCATAGTAAAAAAAAAAGGTTAATATTCTCACATAATAAAAAGTCAAACAACAACAACAACAACAATAATAATAATAATTTTGTTACTTTCAATAGATTCATGAGAAAGTTGAGAGTTGGAGGAAAATATAATTTGTAACCAAGGATAAAGCGTAGAATATAACCATTTTGTTGAATGTCTAAGCATAGGTTTATCAAAAGTTCCTTTACAAGTATTTTGAACTCTTAATTCAATTTCATCACATAAAAATTCTTCTAAAGCATCATTTGTACGTTTTATTAAATCCAATGAATGCATTTGTTTACATAATTTTGAAAAGGCCTCAATCTCATCATTAAGATCCTCCAATTTCGTTCCATCTTCTAATGGTAACTCAACATCAAATTCTTCAAGATCCGTATCATCTAATTCCATTGCCGAGAATGAATTTTCTTCATTTTCAATATTATCTTCTTGCTTTGAAAATAGTATATTTATATCATCTGTTGATCTCCAGACGAAAAGTATATTTTCAAATTTTTCATCTGGCTGTTTTGACTTACAAAGAAGTAATGATGATGAATCGGAAGAATTTGGTGGATTATATCTTATTAAATTTTCATATTTACGAAAAAAAGATCTAAAAAAAATTTTGGTCATTTCCTTAAATAATGATGGTATAGTAGAATAGGGTTCTGATTTATCAATTAAAGATAAATATAAAGTGGTATGATATCGAATTAAAAATTCTTTCATGGATTCATCACTAATTAATTAGAAATGTAAAATTTTAAAAAAATCATATTATTTTTTTTGTTTTTTTTTTTAAAAAAAAAGATTGAAATACAGACAAACCTCGCTACTATAAGTATTAATGGATGTTGACATTTATTAAAATGAGAATAAATATTATGTATAAAATCTATATAAGATTTACATATCCAATTTTCAAATATTTGATCTTTATTAGGTGATTTAACATTATCTTTTTGTAATTGCTATATTTTTAGTATATTTTAAAATATAACAAAAATTTAAATATAATAAATATAATTAAATTTTAAATCAACCAAATAATTATTCAATACGTACCACCCACGTTTCACGCCATTGATGTAATCTTTCATCAAAACATTCTCTAAAATTTCGACACACAGCGTCTTTGAAATAGATGAAATTTTAATAATTTTTAATATATGTTAAAAATAAGAATTTTTTTTAACCAATAAACGATATTTACCAAGGTACCATTCAATTAAACGGGTGGCCAGAGAAGTTTGTACAAGAATTTGTAAATTTTCTTTAACGTCTGCCGGTACTATTATAAAAAAAAAGATAAAATTGAGTTAGTGAACATAAATGTATGATAATAAGTAAGAAATTCATTAATTACTTTCTTGATTTATGTTGTAATTATTAGGGTTTAGCCAGTTAGTGACCACCGACCAAGCCTAATACAATATATCATTTACAATTCGCGAAAATTATTTATTAACCAACGAATAAATAACAAAAAAATTATATGAATATAAAAAAAAAAAAACCTTTGTTGTTTCTATTAAACCTTCTAGACCTTCCTTATTCTGATTTAAATTTAAAATAGCTTTATTCCATTGTTGTTCCAAAGATTCCATTATTTTATCTTTATAAAAGGGTCGTGTCTAGAACAATTTCTGATCAAAAAAGGTTTGCGTTATCTCGCATCTCACATGATCTACAAACTTAACTGAATAATAGCCGAAATTAGATTAAAGTTAACGGACGTTCATAATAGATGAACAAATTACTGACTGATATGCAATGCGATAATTAAGTGAGTAAAAAAAAAAAAAAAGTGGATTATTGCCGAATATACAATAGGACAATTGAAAAAAAAAAAATCAGAAATTAGGAAATACGGAAATTTATAAACTTTATTTTTTTTTATAGATGAAACTTTAAAAAAATGTACATTTATATATATACATATTTGGTTGAAATAATCACTTTTATATCGAAATTTTTATTATAATACAATTATTATTATTATAATAAATAAATAAATAAAAAGAATATTTAAGGTAACTTAATTAAACGCGTTTAAAAGGAGGATGGACATAAAAACGACATAAGATGATATAAATCATATAATAATAATTTAAAAAGTTAACAAAAGGAATTAAGTTAAGTTCGTGCAGATGCAATAAGGAATTATTTTTGTTAATAAAGAATAAAGAAAGATAAAAACAATAAAAAAACAAACAAACAAAAATTGACCAATCTCAAAATGATCAAAATGTAAATCGTTTCTTGTTGTCGTTAATATGAGTGCATGACAGACGCAGACAACAGACAGATAGGACGCGTCAAAATTCACACGTGAGATGATTGTGACTAAATCTTTTAATATAAGATGTCAAATAATTGAAATCGATTGTCTGGGGAAAAAGAAAAAAAGAGAACAATAAGATCTATCGATATTGTGAATATTTAAAAAAATTATTTGTTATTTGAATAAATAAAATAGCAAAAAAGGTTCAAATAGATTTTTTTTTTAAAAGGCAGATGATGATCACCACGATGTTTTCATGCTACTATCATGTAATGTGATTATCAACCTATTCATATTTTTTTTTTTTTAATAAATTTTAAGNCATGCTACTATCATGTAATGTGATTATCAACCTATTCATATTTTTTTTTTTTTTCTGTTTATATAAACAAATAATTTGTCATATGGTAAAAAAAAAAAATATAAACTGAATAAGGAAAACTTTATGAAGATATATTATTGGAAGATCCCGTCGATCCGCGGGAACTCGCGATTCCCCGCTATGACCTTAATAACGCGGGTAAGGAGATTATGCTCTGCATGTGGTTAATCAGTTGATTGAAAGTCATAATTTAGATCTGCGGTGGTTGGAGATCCTGCAAATAATTACTAAAAGACTTGACGTAATATGTACCAATACTAAATTTTATTTGTAACACTGATATAACAACGATATATTTGATTTACTTGTCACCGCAGAACATATGAACCAAGCATTACTTATTAAGTGTTACACCATTCAGTTAATATTATTATGATAATTTTATTATTTCTTGTCAGAAAATACTCCGATAAACAGATGGATTTCTGAAACTATAGTATGATTGTTTGTTGGTTACTCTCAAGTCGTATTTAAAAGAAAAAAAAAGGATCGTCATTTTACTTAGTAATCTAGAGAGGAAAAAAAAAAATTTTTTTTTACCGGGACCGTAAATTTATGGTTAGTCAAATGAACATCCAAATTCATCCATAAAAAAAAAAAATAAATAAATAGTGTGATTTTTACAACTCACATTTAAACTGTTGGTGTCTATAACACTCAACTTCTTTTACAAGTGTTTTATAAATAAAAAAATAACTTGTAACCTGTCGGGTCATGTCATATCCAATTTTTTTCAAACCGAAATTTTTTTTCGTTTTCTTTTTTATTATTATATTATATATTTTTTACTTTTTTATATTTTTCTCTTTCTTCTTCCCGTAGTTTTTTTTTTATAGATATTTTTTATTTTTTTTTATTTTTTCTTTCTTTTCGTTAGATTTTATTTTCGTAGATTTTTTTCGTTTATTATATTTTCTTTTTAAAAAGCACTTATACGACGTTATCTTTTTTCTTCCACGAAATTTTTTTTTTTTTTTTACGCTTTTTTTCGTGGACATTCTTATTTTATTTTATTTTTTTTCTGTATTATTAATCAAATAATTCGCTTATTTTATTTTACGTTATTTTTTTACACCTTAAAAAATTTTTTTTTACGTTAATAACTTACCTTATTTTTTTTTTTTAAAGAAAAACGATTATTTCATTTTATTTTATTAAGAACAAACAAAAATCGATTCGACGATTTTCGATTATAAAGTTGGATCAAATTTTTTATTTATCAATTTAAACCTTAAAAATGCAAACTACAACTGTTCCCACTCTTCCTTCTATTAAATTTTTGTTGGAATCTTCGGTAGAAATGTTTAATGGTGTTAATGGTGGTAAGTGAAAATCTTTATTTTATTTATCCCTTTTTTCTTTCTTTCTTTCTTTTTTCTTTTTGATTGGTCTTTTTTACAATGTATCACAATATGGAAAATGATTTTGGCGCTTTTTTAGTTTGAAAGGAGTTATTGGTAATTTTTTGGGGTTTTATTATTTGGATAACAAAATTTTTTTAACTTTTGATGGGAAAAAATTTGGTAAACAAGAACTTGAAAAAGATCTACCTTTGAGGTCACAGATGACGATCAACAAGATTTTCGAGATGTTCGTTATTAAAGTTTACACAAAAAAAGTAAAAAGGCAAAAAAGTAGAAGAAAAAAAGAAAAAATTATTTTTTCCATAGACAATTCTTTATGGAAGAAGATCTTTAGGAAAATCAAAACTTGATATGAAATTCCGGGTTATCACAGTATCAACAATATCAACAATATCAACAATAGAAAGTGCTGCGGAAATTTCTCTTCCCCCATTTTGAAAAGATCGTCGACTTTTAATGACATTAATGACATATTAATACAAGTCATGTGCGTGGTTATGGAATTTCTTTCTTCCATATGTAAACATAGACTGCCGAATCTGAATAATCCGAATATGAGAAATTTTTATTTATACGGGTTTCTCCGATAATTGCTCCGATTCCTCCGCAAATAGACTCCCCAATACTCATATCATAACAAACAGTTAGTCTTTTTTTTTTTTTTTTTTTTTTTAAAAAAAAAAAAAAAAATGAGTAGAAAATAATATTAAAAATTAATCTCTTAATTTTATTATTTCATCATTTAATCATCATCATAATATCGACCGCAAAAAAATTTTGAACGATTACGGACTTTCCCCGATATATGATTTATTTTTCTTGTTATACATTTAAATACTGCAATTTGGCGTTCAAATATGTCAACAACAAACAAATGCACAAAATAATCAAATAATCGTAATTCCGATTTTCAAATTCAATGAAAATTAGTTGGTTTCGGTTAAAATTAAATTTACTATATCGGTGAATCTATTATTTTTGAGATGTGCCGGAAATGAGGGAAAAAAAAAAAAAATTAAAAATGGCGCCAGATCATGTTCTAAAATTTACTTGGCATTTTTACAAAATTTCTAATCACCTTCTTTTTTTCCTATTTTGTTTAAATTTGAAACCGAAATGCAGATCGTCAAGTTCCGGTGGAACCTCGAAGTCCAACCAATTCATATATTAACTCTAATAACAATTCTTCTTCACGAAAGCTACCAACTTTGTCTTTGAACATACCTTCTCCAAAAGGTTACCTTATTTCTCCAGTAGAAGAAAATAATAATATGTCCGAATATCACCAAAAAGGAAATCATTTTCAAAATAATTTACCAAGACTTCCTTCTATTGGACAATTTGACAGTGTCTTGAATAATAGTAGCAACAATAATAGGAATACTACAACAATTGTACAAAAAAATTCTCGTCCTAATAGTATTCAATCTTTGCTTTCGCCACCAGAATCTCCAGATATGGCTAATAATCCGTTTAATGATTATGTGAGTCATAATAATCACGTTACAGCGGAGCAACGCCCTAGATTGGTTCATCCACAACATTCTGAATATCATTATCAAAAGACGACTTCACCTGTTTATGCTTCAAATATAGTTCCTTTGTGTAAACCTCCTCACTATCATCAATCTTATGCTTCTCAATCTTATGTACAACCGGAGCGTGGTTTTGAAAGATATCATCAAGAACGTGTTACTTATGATCGTTCTTATACTGAACATCGTGCTTATTCATCTTCAACCACTTCTCCAACAACCATTCAACCTTCATATCCTTCATTTGAATCAAGATCAACAGTTTCTACAACTCTTCCTCCAATTTCTCCAATGTTGAATAATGAAAGTGTTATTACAAGAAGATTGAGCGCACCAATATCAACAAAGATCATTAATGATACTTTAACTTCACCTATTACTGGAATAGTACCTTCTACAAGCGTTAACAATAATCGATATCAATGCCCTTATTGTTCAAAAAGGTTTTCTCGTCCAAGTTCACTACGCATTCATACTTATTCACATACAGGCGAGAAACCTTTTGTATGTACAGAACCTGGATGTGGAAGAAAATTCTCTGTTCAAAGTAATATGCGAAGACATTTAAGAGTTCATCGATTAGGAAGACCTGTCAAAAAAGTTAGATATGATGGTGAAGTAGAAGGTGTTAAAATGTTGAATCATGGAGCTATTATGAGAAATTGTTAGGTATACAAGTTACAAGTATATACTTTATGATTTTTGACAAAATTTATATCCCCAACTTTAGTTTTTTTCCAAATCAATATCCGTTAAAAAAAAAAAGTAAATTTTTTTCCCGAAATTTTTTACTCAGTTGGAAATTATTCAAAGTTTTGGGATGTAAGAATTATTTACATGGTTGAATGGTGGGAATGTCATAATTATTAAGATGAAAAATAATTTTTTTTTTAAGTATGACGCGATTGTCGGACTTTTTTTCGTATTAATTTTTTTCGATGAACACTTTTATTTTATTTTTATATGTGACATTTGCTTCAGTAAAATTTATCGTCTCCCCCCCCCCTTATATCCTTGTTGGGAAAAAGAAAATAGTTTTTACGAGGAACAAGATATCGACATTCGTGATGTTTTATTGATTAGGATCACTAGTATTTCAACACTTTATGAAAAATGAAAATGAAATGATTTTTTTTAGTCCTTTTCCCTTTTCACATTGTAAAAAAAAAAAAAAAAATGTTCTTCCATAAATACTCTTTCATAATGTTCTTCCATAATGATTAAGATTAGATGATAGGGAGGTTGCTAAAATAATAGAAGAATTATAAAGAAATTGACATCAGCGTTCCCTTTCTTACAAAACATTTATATTAGGTTTTATTATTTCTTTAATTCTAATTTTTATAATTGAATTTTAAATTATAAAAAACCTCAATCATTTATATATATTTTTTTTTTTTTATTTTCTTTATATAATTTTTCCACCAACATAATTTAATAAGTTTTTTTCCGATTTTGACCGTGATAGGATTCTCTTTTTTTTTTCTTTCTTTTTACGCAAAATATGAAATTTTTCTTTTACTTTTTTTTAAATTGAAGGAAAAGATTCGACTTTTTTTTTTTATTATTTCCTTTTAGTTCTTCCATTAGGAAATTTTAATTAGATATTTAGAAGAGTCCTAGTTTAATTTCTCTCCATCAAAGAGAGGAATTTGTAGAAAGTAACAAAAAGTTCATCTTTTCCTACAATATCCGTTAACACAACCTTTACATTTTTCGCATTTATTATTTTCGCATAAAATTTTCGCATAAAAATCTGGCATTTTTCTGAATTTTCGTACTTTATATATAAAAAAAATAATTGGCATTAAAAACTCTGAACACAAAAAAAAAAAAATCTTTTAAATTTTTGTTTGTTGTTTTTTTTAAAAAATGAAGAACACGCGTAAAACACGGTTACAAATAATAAATATATATATATATATATATTACTAAAAATATTGTTCATTTATCAAACCCACAAGACTAAAATACAAAGTAAATATTATAATCTAATGTCCAAAATTGTGTTAATACTAAATGGATTATACCATAAACTATAAAACAATTAAATATAATAGTATATACTACTTAAATGTTGATGATTGATTATTCAAAATCAAAAATACTTCCGGAATCATTACCTAATAAAGCTAAAAAGAAAAGGAGAAAAGAATTAAGTTATTTATTAAAATTAATATTAAAAAAATTTAATTAAAATAAAAAACCTACCAAAAAATTGCATAAATTGATTTAATTGATTTAAGGGTAAAACTAAGACATTACCACCCCAATCATTATTTTCTTGCCGTGATTCTCTCATAACTTCCTCAAGATTTGAAATATCATTTTCTTCTCCTTCAGGATACCAAAGTTTTATGTCGTAATCAATTCCAGAAGTACATATAATCGGATAATATGGATGTGGTTGAACACAATTTACAACTTTCTAATATAACAAAAAATTAGGTTAGTACTGTTGCAAAGATGATTGAATCTTAGAAGGGAGTAAATAACTCTTACGTGGTCACCAATAAATGAATTTACTATTTTTCCCGTTAACTTATTCCATATAAATATACGACGGTCATCCGAACCAGAAAGAATATATTCTGATTTTGCACCAAAGAAATATGCCTCTTTAATCTAATATCAATTTATATTAGATTTAATTAATGTTTCTCCAAAATATAATCAGAATGATAATTAATTCAAACGCACCATAGTTCTGGAATTTAAATGACCAGTATAAGTCATAGCTACGTCTTCATCGTGTGTTTCTTCCATATCGTTATCCTCTTCATCAGAGCTATACATGTAATCATCTTCATACTCTTCTTGTTCGTCCTTTATATCGTTCATATTTTGCATTTCGGCATATAAATTTTGTCTAATTTCATTAATATTATTATTAATATTTTCAGAAGTTGGAATTGTATCTCTCTCTCCAACAAAATCAATTAATTTTTCTTTTTTTGTCTTTTCTTCGTTCATAATATCAACTTGATCCTTAATATTTTCAGAAGTTGGAATCGTATCTCTCTCTCCAACAAAATCAAACAAATTTTCTTCTTTTGTCTTTTCTTCGTTCATATTAATATTATCTACTTGCATATTATCTACTTTCATTTTATCCTCCGAATGATTATCTGAATCACCTTGTTTTTCCCTTTTCGATATTCTCACTGCGCCTTTTCTCATCTTTTTTGGATTATCGACTAGACCAGCTCCAGGTCTAATCCAATAAATTTTATCACTACTGTAACTAGCACATAAATCACCTCCACCATTTGGATCGAATTTCAAACTAGTCATTTGATGGCGCTTCGATGGGTCTTGACGCATTACTGTAGGAATAAACTGATATACTTGAACATCTCGATGATAAGGCGATGATGACCTCACAAATCGTTGATCATAAATACGTATAGTATCATCTCCACATGCAGCAGCCAAATAAACAGGATAATCTGGTCTGATTGATATAGCCGTAACACTCATATCTGAACCCGCCCGAAATGCAAAAGGTCGTCTTCTACGTTCTGATCGTTGTTCTGACTCCGGTTCGCTTTGTGAACGATCCTCATTATTATCACTAGATTGTTGATTACTAGCACGCTTTCTCGGATTATGATTAACGTTCAAATCTAAAAATGTGTGACGTTTACAAGGTTCGCGATTACAAGATGTGTTCATGCGGAGATCGTATTTATTTATTCGGCCGTCTTCGGCACAAGAGAAAAACACCTTTGAATCATCGGGATCAGGCAAAACTTCATATCTATCTCAAATATAACGAAATAAAATATATCTTAAGACGCGATTCAAAACTAACGGATGATACCCTAACAAGTATATGAATAAAAACTTACGCCATATTACTGTGACATCGAAATTCTGGTGAAGGACGCCAACTATGTGAAGGAGAATTAGCAATATAATCGTTAAGATCAGTGAACCTAACAATTCCATCACAAGCGCATGAAACTATATGTCGATCATTCGTCTTTGGCATAAATTTAGCAGAAAAGATGTTTGAAGTATGGCCTGATGGTATTGAATGGACGAGAGGTTTTTCAGGTCTATCAAATGGAGACCATATCTTAAGACGACAATCATCTAATCAAAAGTAGAAAAAAGATAATTAATCAACTCAGCCATATAATAATTTCTACTAATAAAATTTGATAATAAGTTTTTAGTGATTATTCTTGAAACTAGCCCATTGTAATTTGTACATACCTGAGCCTGACAGTATAAGGTTACCTGCGTCGTTCCATATGACAGTATTTACACACCCGTCATGACCTGTGAGACTCACGGGTTTACTAAAACGTTTAACAACATAAGGATCTGAATAAAATGCTTTTGTGTATGGCTTCTGGTTTGGATATAATTCTCTCTGAACGAGAAGTTTATTTACTTGAGAGTATGAACCGTGACTAATCCGGATCCTTTGGTGTTCCATGTTCATAAAAAGAAGTTTTTCTGTACTTTATCTTTTTTTATCCTTTTATTGTAGACCAAAATCATGTGAATGATGTGATCGATGTGATCGGAGTGATGTCATAGTTATGCAGTTTAGAAGTTGCAAACAATTCACGCGTTTCGTTCGATTGGGCATTCAGTAATGTTCTTGAAAGCTTCCAATAATTCCTTGACCTTTCAATCCCTTTCAATCCCAATTTCAATAACACAATAAATATTATTTTACATATACATATTTCCATGAGCTTCTAATAATTTTATTGGAATTGGACTGAATGCCAAAGCATTTTCAACTTTCCAGCAATCCATGAATGGCATTTGTCACATGAAAAAAAGTATAAGTTGTTAAAATAAAGCGAACTGTTTTATTTTTTCCATTTTATATTGACAATTGTTTTTATCACGAAATCGTTACCTGTTAGCTTATTATTGTTATAATACTACATAAAGTTATTAAAAACGACGCGCTTATATTCCTATGATTCAATCGTATAATATTTTATTTAATATTGCTTCACATTTAGATGATTAGATCCACTTGTAGTGTTTTTTAACATTTGAATATTTTCAGATTCCTTTTTTTATAGAAGATCATCAAGATAATGTAATATAAGTGATACCAATTACCTTATTTAAAATATAAAATAAGAATAATCCTTTCGCAAAATTTTATTCTTCAAAAACACAAATCTTTGATAGGACAATCGTAAAGGTATATTGATCTTACATCAGTTCAAAAGTTAAATTCAAGAGATATATTTTAAACATTAGAAATATACTTTACAGACAACGAATTTCGAAAATGAATTTAAAAACCGCTTTTCCTGATGCATCTAATCAAATGGTTACACTTGTTCGAGAAGGACCATTATTTATTTTGACAATGAAAACCGGAGAAAATCGATTTAATACAAAATTTATTGAAGCACTTTTTGGAGCTTTGGACGAAATAGAAAAAGTTCGTGAACAGGAAGATGGCGAACCTGCTGCGCTTATCACTACAGGAGAAGGAAAATTTTTTAGTAATGGGTTAGATTTGGAACATGCCATTACTACACCAGGATTTTTTGACGATTATTATTTAAAACTATTAGTAAGAATTTTAACGTTTCCCATCCCTACTGTTGCTGCAATCAATGGACATGCTTTTGCTGGAGGATTCATGTTAGCCTTGGCACATGGTAAGAAAAATGGAAATTTGATTTAATTTTAACTTTGATTAAGCTTTATAATAATTTTAAATAGATTATCGTGTTATGAGAAATGATAGAGGGTATTTGTGTATGGTACGTGACCAATATTAAATATTCATTATTCAATATATATTACTGATTGACATTTCTGGATACTTTTTTTTACAAGAATGAAGTTGACATTCCCTCTCCTCTTCATCCCGGGATGGCAGCTATAGTTCGTATTAAAATGACACCTAAAACTTATCGAGATTGTATTTTACAAGCTCATAGATTCGCAGCAAAAGAAGCATTAGAAAAAGAACTTGTAGATGTTTTAGCATCAGAGAGTGAATTATTAGGAAAAGCAAAAGAGTTGGGATTAAAATGGTCTGGTAAAGCGAAAGCTGGAGCTATTTATGGGTCATTGAAACAAGAAATGTATGTTGAAGGGGTTAATTATATGAGCGTGAAAAATTGGAAATACGCAAAATTATAATTTAAATGTGAAGACGCGAAGTACCCGTGTGTTACACGAAACCAACCAATCATATTTAATAATAAATTCTCAGTAATCACAGATCAATCAAATATATTTCCGTAAATATTTTTGAAGACGCGACTAAAAATCATTTCACTGCCATTGCCATTTTCGTCATTTTCGTGTTGCATATTTGTTATTACGTTATTACAATGGGACACCAAAAATGTTCTAACTGTGATGTATTAAAGTTACAAATTGAGCTGAAGGACGCGGTTATTAGGTCGAAAGAAGACAAAATAGCCCAGTTACAAGAAGCTTTAATCTCGTATAAAGATGCTTTAATCAAGTCACAAAAGGATTTAATAACGGTGTTGAAAGATTATCCTAAACACCCTACAAGTATGCAATAATAAAGTTTGCAGTTTATACATATTTTATTTGTTTAAAATGTATCAATTTTATTGTGTAATGAATGTAGCGAATGGGAGACCGTTCAATGAGTATAATAATAATAATGGATATAGTTGTGGCAGCGGTAACGCTAAATTGGATTTTATTGACATAGAGGGTGATTGCGATTGGATTCATGCTAATCAAGCAAATCCATATGAAGGCAAAGGAAAGAAAGAAAATTTTCTTCGCGTTTTCCAGATGTATTCCATTTAACTAATTTCCTATTTATCCTTTAGAATATCGCGTTTTTATTGGATCCGTTAAACCTGATATAACTAAGACTAAATTGAGAAGGATATTGGAAGAGCAATTTGGTCGTGTAATTCATATGGATTTGGTAATCAGTAAGGTAATGTTTATTTAACGGATCTCGGTATGATTTTTATTAATTTTTTTATAATTTAGAGTTGTGCTTTCGTTACTTTCGAATCATTTGAAACGTACGATGCTGCTATAAAGAAAGGAAATGTTTACATTGACGGTAGTGCTTATTCTGTTCAAGCTGCTCGTGCTCAACGTAGGAAACCACGCTGGAATGAAAAACCTTTTTATAATTTGTAACTTACATGACATTTTTATGATTAATGATAATTTCTTTATTATATTAGCATAACTAATAAATGTTATTTTTTTAAAGATCCTAGAAAACATGTCATATTTTGCTTATTTTTTCTTTAATTGAAAGCCATTTCTGTTAATAAAGTATATCATACATATAATATACATTTATAATTTTAATAAATTTGCAGTAAACTAAATTGAAATACTATAATTTTACAAATGCCTATTCTACAGCATTTATATATAAAACAAATTAACAAATTAAATACAGCCCATTCTCCTAATAATAAGATATGAATTCATATTGGTAAAAATAAGTAGGTCACATTAATGTTTATTTTTTTCTTTTCTTTTTTGTCACTTCTTTTTTCCATCTCCTTTTGATCCTTTTTTTTTAGATAATTTGATAATTTGTATAATATACAACTTGAATTCATTGTTGAATACTTATAAATAGGTTCAATTCTCTTTAAAATTATAAGCTAGAGGTAGAAGTATGTCTTAGAAGTATTGTGTTCTATAGCCAAGCAGCAGTTCTTATAAAGTATTATCATTTTTCATATTTTTATATTTATTGTCTAAGTTTTAATTGACAAATTGTACAGTATTTTCAGTTTACTAAATAGAAAAATAGACTTGTATAATTTTAAATTGCCAATAAATTTTTTTTTAATTTCTGCTCTTATTTTTTTAAAAAACAGTAGTAATTATTAAAATTAATTTTTATTAATTTAAAATTTTTTTTTTTATACTTTTATCTTCTTAGTTCTTACTACTAATATAATTTAAATAAAACCTTTAAGATTTTTAATATTATATTTTTTATACTATACTTATTCTTACTAGTCAATCATTAAATATTTTCTTTAAATTGATATAGCAAATTTATTAAAATAGCTTTAATTAGCTAAAATATAAATTTTCATTATATTTATACAATTTCATCTAATTTCATAATTTAAAAATACTGTATGCAATTGATTATATTGGTAGCAAAAATATACAGTCAACTTTCTATAAATGCATCCCCCTTGGAATCACACTGGTAAAAAAATGATTTATCCTACACATATCTTACACATATTGGGTACTCAAAATGTAGAAAATCATACACAAATAATACACATATCATACACATATCGGGTACTAATATATATATCATACATATATTATCAGGTACCTGATAGGTATACTATATATATAAGTACCTGATATGTATATGATATGTGTATTATTTGTGTATGATTTTCTACATTTTGAGTACCCGATATATGTAAGATATGTGTAGGATATGTGTAGGATAGACCATTTTTTTACCAGTGTCAGATATAAGAGTATATTTAAAAAGGGTGTGCATTTATAGAATACATATAAATTTATATGATATTAATCTAAAATTAAGGTAATACAAAAATTTTATAAGTAAACTATATAAAATTTTTTTATAAAGGGTGCATTTATAGAGAGTTGACTGTAATAATCTAATAATACTATAGCAAAATATAATTAAATAAAGGTTTTACTATTACAATTTTTATTTAAATAAAACTAATATTATTTAAAACAACTCAAAATAATTGGAATTTAATATTATTAATAAATTATTAAATAGTAAATTATTTGTTATTAATTAATATATTATAATAAGTTTAGTATAAAATTCTAACACCTAAAATCTTAATCCCAATTATCTTTTTTTTTTTTTATTTTAATTTTATAATTTATATATGCTTACATTAAAATTAGTTAACAACAATGAAAACTATTTTCTAAATTAGTTATACCCACCCATAAGGATGCAACCACCAAGAATCCATATTACCATTGTATTAACATTAAAAACAAACAAAAATAAAAGCCAAACCCCTTCATAATCCCTATGAAGTCCTTATATAGAGGAGGCACGAAATGGAATAAAAGCTCACAGCGATAGGAGATGCACTTCCCAATATTACGGTATTTTACTAAATCTAAGCGGATACACCAGATCCAGTCAATGACATTGTAAGCAATCTAATATTAGTACTTTTGATGTATCAACCGCTGATCAACTTGATTAGTAAAAATTAAAAACTAAAATCCACCAATCCCATCAGCCCTCCTAAATAGACCGATCTACATAAATCCAAAAAAGTTAAGTAACACCAAACCTTCAGCCAGATGATCAACATTCCAATACCCCAGCTCCCCCAAAAGAAACTGAAACTAAGAGTGAAAATGCTGAAATTCCAGGAAAATGAAAAAACTAAAAAACAAAAAGGAAAGTCATAACCTCAGAAAACCCTAAGGGAAAAACTAAGTAAAAAGGGTAATAAACACCAAGCCTCCGTCTATCACTTCAAACCCCTCAAACAACAACTATTAACAAGAAAAAGCCCACTTCCCAAATAACCCTTAATCCCAATTATCAAAATCCTAAAATAGGAATAAAAATACTAATGCTATATATTTAATTTGTAAAATATAAGTATTTAATTGAAATATTTTGTTTTATAAAATATATTATTATAAATTTTATTAAATGTTAAAGCAATATAAAATAATACTTAAACCTAAATCATTAGTAAAAAAATTATAATAAAAGGTTATATATATACTTGTGTCCGAAATTATTTTAGTATTACGAAAATACGTAATTACATAATTCTGTAATTATTAAGTAATTCATTAGAAAAACTCCGTATTCCGTAATTGATTTCGGACTCCGTAATTAATTTCGTATTACGAAAATATTTGGCCAGAATTAGCCTTAATTTTGGCCGATTTATATATAAAAACTTTAACAAATAATAACTTGGCACCCAGTGATCCGTTTTGGATGATCTTACTACCATTTGATTCTTCTTGATAAGACGATTCTAATGGTAGTAAGATCATTTAAATCCAATCACTAGATCGCGATCCGATACTAATAACTTTTAAATATTTATAGCGTAATAGCT